AGGAAGGCTTTAACGAGCTGATCTGGTCCGCACAGCTCACGATTCGGCAGGAACAAGACGTCGTCCGCATCCGTTACAATTACAATTCGGTCACGGGGTAGAGTCCTCAAATACTCCCGATAATATCTCACGCGCCCGCCAAGTCCCTTCCAGGTTTCGTTCAGACCGAGTACCGCGAACGGAACTCCCACCAAATCGCAGAACTTAGCTAAGCGTTGAACGCCTTTCCCACACCGGGTGGAAAACGTTATCCATTCGATTTGACAGCCGGAGTGGGTGAAGGAAGAAGTGGGCTTTATATCGCGAGGGTCGACGCTGGAATCGTACACGACTCGGCAACCGTCTCTCTCCGGATTCTCCGCCGCTCCCAAACTACTCTCCACGTCGTTGCTGCTGCTGGTGCTGCTGATGTCACCTCCGGTCGCCACGTGACGGTTATGAATCTCGTTTCCCTTGTCGAAGCCTGCTTTCCCGCGTCGGGCGGCTGCGTTCACCAAATCGGAGCACGCAATACCGCGGAAAAACGACATGCTGTGCATTCCCTTATACGCGAGGCCAACTCCCACGCATGAGTCCAAAGAATCGCGGAAGGCTGTGACACCGGGACTCGCGCCGGACGAGAAATTGTACACCCACACTAGCAGCATCGCGAACGACATCGTCGCCAGAAAAGACACTCCGAAGGCCCGTTTTGCGACGAGCCAGAGCGACGACACCCACGAGCCATGATCATGGACAGGTGGTATGGTGGGCTTCGCCATGCCTGCGTCGAATTGCGAGTCGCCTTTTGTCAGGAAAAAACTAAGACTCGGATAGAACATTCGGCTTGCAACGGCTTTTCGGCCTCCCCCCGTGTGATGTCGACCTGTCCGACTGCATACAGCGGCGCTCGCCATCTCTCAGACGTGGGTTGGTAAAAGCAGTGGTAGTGATTCTGATGTTCGCGCTTGTTTCACACGGCTCTTGTGCATGCTTGGGACTGAAGTACTGTACGGTATGAGCAATCCCACAGGCATCTAAACCATATGCTGAGTGACAGACGACGTCCCAGGAGCAGAAGTTTTTGGCCAACCTTGTGCATTGCTTTCCACCGCGTTTTGTGACCTCGAAAGGCTCCGCAAGAAACAACTTTGCCAGACGAGACGCGAACGTCCTTTTTAGAAACAGGTGAGTCTAGGAATCCTGAACATGCGGGCGAGGGACTGTTGTAACACCGCTACCCACTGGGTCAAAACGAGGGTTATATTTGAGGCGCAGCGGATGCACTCATACCCTTACGTGTAAGCCCCACAGGCGTTACAACTGTTCAGCCTATACCCCATCACGTGCACGATACGCGTGCGATCCGGGGAGGTGCAGCAATTCTTGGCGATCCCAGCGCTATGCTTTTTAACGACCTATTTCTGCGACTTCGAACGACTTCGCAAGAAGCAGTTGTTTGCCGAACGACTCAATGTCATTCGGTGAAGCCTTCGAGCCCATTCGGGGACGGGAATACCTCGGAAGTGCGCTGGCGGAATAGGCCACATGTTCAGCCTCGACTCAATGCTTAGGGCGTGTTACATTTTCTACTTCTGGCCGTCCGGACGACTGTGTGGTTACGATATTCGTCTAATTTCGGCAGAAGGCTCGTCAGGGTCTAAACGACGTCGTAAGCGTCGATTGGCTGAATTACGACATCGCATTGGTCGCAAAGCGACCGCACGACGTCGCAATCTCGCACTCGACCAGACAACCGTCCGGAATTTCAGTGATTTTAATAAATATAGCATGCCCTTAGTAGTCTGCAATGCAATGTCCAGCAAAGCAGTTCGCAGCTTGCGTCGGCATACTGTACAGTATCCTGCCATGTACGACAAGCACAGTTGAATGCCAGGCACAATTGCATAAGCCGAGTTCTACACCTAGTTCTCGATAATTGTACACCCCCTACCCTTGTTTTTCGTAGGCAACCTTTACAGGATTTGACTTGATGCGACGGACACCCTGAGATTAAGGGACTATTACTAAACAACGGGCAGGTGCTTCTAGAAAGAAACTCGCACTCTCTTTAATATTCTTGGTGCACCCCGACAGTTCACGAAAGTAAGTTGGTCCCTCCTCCGCGGTTTTCCTAAACGTTGGTAGCTACCCTACGAAAAAGATTGAACTCGGGTAAATACCCCAATTTATAAAATTAAGCGGTGTGAAATAATCGAGAACAGGATGTACAACACGGTGATCCCCCCTGCGATGGTGACGGTGACGGCGAAGTTCAGGCCAACGGGTTTGCTGGCGGTGTGTGCTTGGGAAGATGGCGGGAAGAACTCCCCACCCCACCCACCCCAGGCGGGTAAGGCTTTGGGCTGGAGTTGGGGGAAGGGGGATGTTCACACTTGTTTGGGAAATTATATAGTTAGTCACAATTAGGCCCGGTTTATCACGTTTGGTCACGGGGGTATCACGAACAGTCACAGTACACTTCGTAACTATCACGTGTGATCACAGTGCCATCACGGATAGTCACAGCTTGCCCCACAAGTCTATCACGTTTGGTCACAGATGAAATGCCCAATTAATTAATGTAACTACTAAAGTAACTGTTGGGAGACAGGGGAAATTTATATCGCGCGCGCTGTTTTGTCCGTAGTGTTGCGAGACGCTGTTAGTTACGAAATATTTTCGCGACCACTCTCGTCAACTCGCAAAAACCATTGGTAACATCGGAAAACTAGCTCGTTGCGCATTGTTCACGGTTGGATTGTCCACTGTTCCATTTGTGCATAATGACCCTAAGAATATTACTTTTAGGCGGGTGAAACTTGAAGGTTATTTTTCCTTTCCAAGAAAAAACTAAAACCCGTTCGGATGGGATTTCCTTCTGGAGGCATCAACCCTAAATACCTTGTCGCAAGGTGTTTAGGGTTGATGCCTCCCGAAGGGTGTGCCATCCTTGGGGGTTTAGTTTTTTCTTCAGTTCCCTAAATGTCAGACTAGAATCATGCGCGAGGGTAACCAGCAATCGAGATTGGGATTCCCCCAAATCTCTACAGTTTCTTTTGTGGTTTCAAATAAGTTATACTCGTTACATCGAGTGACCAAACGTGATAGCTTTTCGGGGCAAGGTGTGACCATCCGTGATAGCACTGTGATCACCCGCGATAGAAATCTACTGTACTGTGACTGTTTGTGATACCCCTGTGACCAAACGTGATAAAACGGGGAAAATTGTGACTTCCCGTATAATTTCCCCACTTGTTTCTCACGGTTCTTGTCGGTGCTTGGTACAGTATGGCCCTGTTCGATAGCAGGGTGAACGAGAAGAAGAAAACTTGGAAACGGTGGGGAGAATTGGGCGGGAATCTACGTGGCACTCCTTGCGACGAGTCCGAGTTCCCGCTAGCGCGAACGATCCCACTGCGATGTCTCGGATTTCCCGCCTTCGCGGGAAAACAAGGCGGGAAGTTCAACAATGGTTCCAGACGCCGAAGCGTGCCCCAACAGTGACTCTCGCCCAATGATTACATCCTCGTCACAGCTCCTCTCGGGCAAAACGCCGCTCTGTTACCACACCAATGCCATTTCTACTTTTCGGTGAAGGAGCAACGGTTTCTGTCGGTTGGGGTATTGAGGGATATCTTAGGTAAAATAACAGTCTAAACCAGTGGCATGCCCACTCCTTGGGACACAGCTCACTCGATTTGGAACCGCTCTGTAAAACACTATATATTTTTCAGATCGAATATTTTGATTGCGATACTTTTTCTGACGCTGACCATGGTTCCGCCAGGGCCCAAAAAACACAGAATGTTTCCACACCAATTGGCCGTTGATGTGGTGTTTCCGAACACCTCGGCCGTTAGACCTGCAGAAAGAAGCCGGCAGGCAGTCGGCTTCAATCATTACGCTGCCGGCGGTGCCGAACGAGCACCGTTTGTCTTTATGCTCCCACCGTTGTGCTTGGACAATGGTTGGGGGCTTTTTGCCGAATTGCTATCGAACAGGGCCTATATCAAGGCCAGCTTGGTTCGTCCTCCGACGCCCCCATGATCCCATCTCGTCGTGAATCTCTGCGAGCGTCCCACAGAGGTCCAACATTGCGCATTGCTTCCGGCGTGTCCGCTGGACTTGGAAAGACTCCGCAAGAGTCATCTCGTTGCTGTTGCGCAAGTGTGGGCTGGGCTGCTGTTGCTTGACTTGCGATGACGGGCATGGCACAGTATAGTACAGTACCTCCAGAAGAATTGTAGCGCCAGGCGCGCCAAAGGCCCCCCAAGCTGGCGGAGTGGTGACACGTCCAGGAGTTTCGGGGGTGCGTGGAAAATGGCGGGAAGGTGGTTGGGAAGAACTCCCCAGGTGGCGGGTACAGTACATCAGGAAGTGTACACTCAAACATTAAACGTACACGTAACAATACAGATACTTCCTATTAGGAATTGAACTCGTTAGTGTAGACTTACCTTAGCGAGGATATGTGGAGGGATTGTGTGTCAGCTGGGTTCGGCCTAAACGTAGGGCGCGTAACCATTTTGCACCCGACGGTTCGAACCGTGGACCGTCCGGGTGGCGAAAAGGTAACATGATTCGCACTATGTCGTGAGTATGTTCGTCAAGGTGTTGGCGACATCGCCAACAAAACGGACTGTCGTGACACTTTTTCCCATTTTCTACGGTCCGAAATCTGAACCGTGGACAGTCCGAATCTCAAACGGACTGGCCGACAGTCCTTGCACACGATTGGCGGACGAAAAACAAATTGTCAAGTCACCTCGTCCACCAACAAAAACATGCGATGCTACTTCAACGAATTGACATTGACCAACCAAAGACAACCCATAAACAAAAATGATTCGATAACGACATTTGCGAGCCATCTCCGCCCCCTACCCAACGTTAGGTGACGCGCCGATTGCCTCGTCCCACTCACATTTAAAATCCCACGCGCCGATCGCCAACGTTAGGTGGCGCCCTAAAAAATTGACTCGAACATCTTCATTCACTCATGATCCGAGCCACGCGTGATGGCTCACCAGCGCGCCGCCTCAGCTCCCCTGGGGGAGCGCATGTTGCACGCCGTAGATTTAACTCCTTCCGGCCGGCCCGTGCTGTTCCCCGGCGAGGTAGAGAGCCTCTTAATCGACGACGCGGGGATTGAATTCGAGGAGGTAAGCTCCGGCGCTTCCGCCGCCCATCCCGCCGCAAATTCCGGCGCGGTTCTCGAAGCGGAGTCGCTTCGCGATGGCGTCGCGTCGCTCACCACACACCGGTTGATCTGGATCGACGAACGGCCGGCGACAGGTGGTAACCGGAAACGAGCTTTTGCCATACCCCTCGTGGCCATCGCGAATGCTTCTGCTGCAGGGTGGCGACTCACCTCAGTTTTCGCCTCCCCTCGTGTTCGCATGTACGTCTTACTAGACCCGCAAGGGCGGGCGGTTTTGTCTTCTTCTGCCATTGGCAGCAGCAGCTACAGCACGCAGAGCAGCAACTTAGGGACTAATTTAGGACGAACCGCGTCCTTAGTAGCCGTTTTAAGGGGCCAGGCACCTGCTGACGTGTTCTTGAAAAAACTTAACGAAGCTTTAGCGGCTAGAAAGTGGCAAGAATCACCTTTTCCGAGGGTAGTACCCCCCAATACTGCTGGCTCCGCGTCTCTCCCCGCCCCGCCGATAGGCGCAGCAGCAGCGCTTGGCGCATATGGGGGGAGCGGAACAGGGGGAGCAGCAACTGGCGGAGTCAACCCCTTGTATTGGGGCAGCGGGGCGTATGGAAGCGGGGAAAAGGGCGCAGGAGGGGGAGCGTGGGGAGCGGGGGGAGCAGGGGGAGCGGGGGGTGCAGGGGGAGCGGGGGGGCCTTCCCCAGTGCAGTTCAGCACAGCAATGGCGGGGGTGGGGGGCATTCTGAGGCGCGAGGCGGAGCAGAAGCAGGCCACGGATCGCAGCCTGCAGGAGGCATTTGCCGACTTGAATGCTCTCATGGTGAGTGGAGGAGAGGGTATGAAGCGACTATCTACAGTGTTCATCCCTATCGCTCCAGTAGTCACAGGATGGCAGCCTGCAAGAAGCATTCTCGGACCTGAATGCTCTCATGGTGAGTGTGAGAGAGTACTTACTTGGAGATTCGATTCGCATGCACCTACCAGCAGAAGCAGGCCACGGGTTGCAGCCTGCAGGAGGCATTCTCGGACCTGAATGCACTCATGGTGAGTGGAGGAGGGGAGGGGTATGAGCCTCTCAGGTCAGGGACTTGGACTGCTGATCCATCATCTATCACATCACACAAAGGGATTCAGGTGCACCCTACCAGCAGAAGCAGGCCACGGGTCGCAGCCTGCAAGAAGCATTCTCGGACCTGAATGCTCTCATGGTGAGAGAGTGGAGGGAAGGGGATGAGATGAGCCAACCACGTACCTACAGTATTGAGCCTATCGCTCCTGTGGTCTCCGGATCAAATCCTGCTGGCGACATTCTCCGTCCGACCTGACTGCGCTCGTGGTGGGATTGAGTCGCCTTTGGAAAGTCTCAAAATGACAGCAGCTTATGACCTGACACCTTTCGTATCTTCCTGTTTCCCCCCACCCACTCCCTCCGTGCAGGCCAAGGCTAGAGAGGTGGTGATATTGGCCAAGAGAATGTGACAGAAGCTGATGCTGCTGCTGCTGCTGCTGCTGCAGGAGAAGCAGCAGCAGATGGCCTACCACCTTACATGTGTGTATCCTGCCTTCCCTCCTTTTTCTCAATGCAGCGAGATGGTGAAACTGGCAGAGAGAATGCGACAGAAGCAGCAGCAGCAGCATTGAGGGTTGGGAGGGTGAGAGGGTTTGAGGCGTCTCACAGAATTTGTTGTTTTTACGTGACTTCTCGCTTTTCCTTCCTTTCCGTTTTGCAGGCCAAGGCGAGCGAGATGGTCAAGCTGGCAGAGAGAATGCGACAGAAGCTGCAGCAGCAGCAGGGCACGGCGAGTGGGGAAATCGCCCCTTCCCTCTCTTCCTCTTCCTCCTCCTCCTCCTCGTCAGCAGCAGCAGCATCAGAGGAGCTGCAGGACCTGCTGTTGAAGATGGGTATTGAGTCGCCCGTCACACGAGAGACAGCAGGGGCATTGTACCACAGACAACTGTCCCGAGAGGTGAGCGCTCCTACCAGAGGAGGTGGAATTCAGTTGTAAGGGTTGAGGCAGAGAGGAGCTGCAGGACCTGCTGTTGAATATGGGTATTGAGTCGCCCGTCACACGAGAGACAGCAGGGGCATTGTACCACAGACAACTGTCCCGAGAGGTGAGCGCTCCTACCAGAGGAGGTGGAATTCAGTTGTAAGGGTTGAGGCAGAGAGGAGCTGCAGGACCTGCTGTTGAAGATGGGCATTGAGTCGCCCGTCACGAGGGAAACGGCAGGGGCGCCCCTTTCAACACTGCCCCTGCCTCTAAGGACAGCTATCACAGGCAGCTGTCGAGAGAGGTGGGTGGGTGGGTGGTTTATCCTTTCCTCACCAGGGAGGTGGGTGGGTGGGTGGTTTATCCTTTCCTCACCAGGGAGGTGGGTGGGATAGTGCCTCTGATCACAGGCTTTAAGCTTCAGGGTTCGTGAGGACTCGAACCCCTCGTGTGCTTCGTGGAAAGGGCAGTAATTAAGATGTGGGTGGTATCCTGGAGCTAGGCAGAGGTGGGTGCGAGGCAGAGGCACCGGGGAGCGCTTTACAGAGATGAGTTACTAGTCGCTGCAATCTTCTGTGCCACAATCAGCCAGGCAGTCGCTTGAGCATTCGTTGCTCACTGCCACGTTCGCTAGAGCAACGTCGAAGCGTGCTGATTGCTCCCAAAGTAGAACAATCTCATTTCTGCGTGTGAGCCAAAGCATGCTCGTGTGTTTCTTGAGTCGACAGAACGAACACGAAAGTGAAGCGATTGCTCATCCAACTGTTGCATTTTGGTGTGCTTTGAGTCGACTCTGTCCACTCATAGCACACACTTTAGTTCACAACCTCTGTAACATACCAGCGTTCTTAGGCTGAAACTTCTACTGCCCACTGGCTGAAACATCCCCTGCCCACTGGTTCCTTTCACCCTCTGAATCGTTTCCCTCTCAAAAGGCCCTTCTCTTTACAGCTGGCATCTGATGCTCCCCTCCTCCCATTCCACTCCCCTCCTCCCATTCCACTCCCCTCCTCCCATTCCACTCCCCTCCTCCCATTCCACTCCCCTCCTCCCATTCCACTCCACTCCTCCCATTCCTCTCACCTCTTTCTATTCCTCTCCACTGCCCCTTTTCCTCACACCTGCCCCTACTCCACTCACTTTTTCTCATTCCTCTCCCCTTCTCTGCTTCCAGCTTGCAGATTTCATAGGTCCCGTGTTGGAGAAGACAGGTGGCACGATGCTGTTGGTCGACGTGTACTGCATATTCAATCGAGCCAGAGGCACAGGTGCGGAATGAACCGCTCTCAACCCAACTCTCTTCGCTGAGGCAAGTCGAAAGTGCTGAGCTGGCAGTCCTGAGCTGGCAGTCCTGAGCTGGCAGTCCTGAGCTGGCAGTGCTGAGCTGGCAGTGCTGAGCTGGCAGTGCTGAGCTGGCAGTCCTGAGCTGGCAGTCCTGAGCTGGCAGTGCTGAGCTGGCAGTGCTGAGCTGGCAGTGCTGAGCTGGCAGTGCTGAGCTGGCAGTGCTGAGCTGGCGGTACTGAGCTGGCAGTGCTGAGCTGGCAGTGCTGAGCTGGCAGTGCTGAGCTGGCAGTGCTGTGCTCCGCAAGCCAGTCCGGCAGTGCAAGATGAACACTGTTGTGGTGAAGGAGGGTTTGCAGAGAGTCGGTTGTGGTGACGAGGAAGTAGGAGCAAGCATGTAAGTCGAACAGCGAACGCCGTGACTTTCCGCTTCTGATATGGCTTCGTGACTGACAGATTGACTGACAGATTGACTGACAGATTGACTGACAGATTGACTGACAGATTGACTGACAGAGTGACTGACAGAGTGACTGACAGAGTGACTGACAGAGTGACTGTGTGGCTATGTGAACCTACATGTGCTTCATTGTGTGTGTGTGTGAGGGGTGGGGGAAGTTGGGACGGGGGGTGGGGAGGATAGTGTGCGTGTGCGCGCGCGCGCATGTGTGTGTGTGTGTGTGTGTGTGTGAGTGCATGCATGTGTGTGCTCTCCCGTGCCTCTCAGAGCTAATATCACCAGACGATCTTCTCAAGGCCTGCTCACTCTGGTCCTCCTTCAACGCGTGAGTCAATCCAACCTTAAACTTCAAACTTGCAAGCAAGTCCTGGTCAAATCGATAAATAGTTTTGTAGGGTACAATCAGCAATTATCCAAAACTTGCCTCTCTGCTACCCTCTCTCGCTCTCTTTCTCTAAAATGCCCTGCCTTGCAGTTGTACGTTGCTTCGGCTCTATGATGCTCTTTCTCTTTCTCATGGTTGCACCTGACGACTCACAGTGACGTCTTTTTTCTGTGCCCTCTCTCCTCTCCTCCCTTGTCCCCCTTTCGTATTCTCTTCTTTTTCTCCTCTCTTCTCTCTGACTATTTTTTGACCTCTCATTCTCTCTTTTCTATCCTCTCTCTGGCTATCCTTCTATCACTCATTCTCTCTTTTCAATCCTCTCCCTGGCTATCTTTCTATCTCTCGTTCTCTCTATCTCAAATGTCCAGCCCTGCAGTGCTGAGGCGCTTTGACAGTGGCATCCTCGTTGTGCAGCTGAATGCGCGCACTGGTTTCTCACCCACTGTTCTCTCCCATCTCCCCTCTCCCTCCCCTACTTTCCTCTGCCTCTCTCGTTTTTCCCCATCCCCAGCCCTGCGGTGCTGAGGCGCTTTGACAGTGGCATCCTCGTGGTACAGCTCAAGACTCACAACGACGAGCATGTGGGTGCAGTGCGGTACAGTCCAGTGCAGTGCAATGGAGTGAACTGAAGAAAATGCAGGATACATCAGGGTTTTAACAACAGTGCAGTGACTTACTGAAGTGGATTGAACACACTACTGCAGGGGCTGTTGTAAACATGATTGCACATACATTCTGATGAATACAGTGCAAGTAGTATCTTTTGTATCTTCTTCTGCTGTTTCCTTTCCATTTCCTCCTGGCCAATCTTCTTCTCTCCAAAACCTACCCCTATCCGCACTCATTCACTTCCCTCCCCATGCCCCCGACAATGTTGCACGTCCTACCCGCTTCCACCTCTGCTGCTCCTCCCTTGGCCCTCCTTCCCTGGCCCATCTCCTCTGCTCTTTCTCCTCTGCATCTCCATCCATCGCTTCTCCCTTCTGTTCCCTTCCGCCGTTTTTCTCCCACTCTCTCTTTCTTACCCCGTTTCTCCCCCCCTCACATTTCCCTTCCCTCTATCTCCCCTCTCCGCAGCTCATCCATTCTCCCTCCTCTTCTCCATCCTTCTCACCCCCCCTCGTTCTCTCCCCCCTCTTCTTCTCCTCTTCTGTTCCCTCTTTTCCTCCACCTCTCCCCTCCTCTTCCTCTTCACCCGCCTCCTCCTCCACCTCTGTGCATGCACGCGCACAAGCAAGGTCTACTACCTGTCAAACCAGCTCACTTGCAAAATCCGTCCCTTCTTCCTCTATCCCCTCTTTCATGCCAGCCCTAGTCCGCACAAATATCCATTCCCCTCCTCCTCTATCCTCCCCTTCCTCCTCACTCCCGCTCGTTTTCTCTCCCCTCTTCCTTTCTTCTCCTCCTCCCTCCTTCCTCTATCTCTCCCTTCCCCTTCCTCTCTCTCTCTCCCTTCCCCTTCCTTTATCTCTCCCTTCCCCTTCCTTTATCTCTCCCTTCCCCTTCTTCTTCACCCGCCTCCTCCTCTACCCACTTGGGCAACTCACACACAAGAGCCACCCAACACCCTCTTCCTCTATCTCCCTCCTCTGCGTTATTGCCGGGCCACACGCTAGATCCAGGAAGGGGCATCCCCCCCCTTCTCTTCCCACTCCTCACAGCGCCTCTTTTTCTCCAACTTCATCCCCTCCCTCTAATTCCCTCCCCCGTCATGCCAGGTCACCCGCAAGATCCAGGAGATGGTATCGACCAATGAGGCGCAACGAGTCGGGGTGTCCATTGCTGACGTGGCGCAGGCGCTCGGCGTCTCGCCAGCTGTCGCCAAGGAGGAGCTGCTAGCGGCCGAGGCCAACGGTGAGCAACACTAAGTGCTGTTGCTTTGCTAAGCGCCGCTGCTTTGCTAAGTGCTGTGCGCATGCCTCTCAAGAGCGTCACCAATGACGAGTTGCTAGCAGCCAAGGCCAACAGTGAAACGAATGTCTTGTGCTTAGTTGAATTGTGTTTGTTCTGGGTGACGGTCCTAATTCTGCTTGTTCAAGTGTTGTTCTGGGTGTCCCTCTCAAAGAGACTGGAGTTGCTAGCAGCCGAGGCCAACGGTGAAACAGAATGCTGTCAATGGTGCTACTTTGCTAAGTTCTGTATCTTCTGAGTGTTCCTCTTGAGGAACATTGCCAAGGAAGGGCTGCTAGCAGCCGAGGCCAAAGGAAAGAAGAATGTATGATGCTTAGTTAAGTGTTGTTCTGAGTTCTCTTCAGTGAAGAGCTGCTAGCACCAGAGGTGAAGGGTAAGGGTGTTGCTCTTGGTATGGTCAATGTCCTGTCACTGTTGTCAATGTCCCTTCACTGTTGTCACTGTTGTCAATGTCCCTTCACTGTTGTCACTGCTGTCCAAGTTTCCTCAGGCCATTTTCATGCATTTTGTGCAGTGTCACCTTGTTTCTCGCTTCACTGTCTTCAAAGTTTCCTCGGCAATTCACTCCGTTTCCTCGACCCCCACCACCACCACCACCACCATCCCATTCAGGTCTTTTGTGTCGAGACGATGCAGCCGACGGTCTCTCTGTTCCCCCCCATCACTGTTCTCCATGTTTCCTCATGCCATTTTGTCCCTTTCCCCCACCACCACCACCATCCCATTCAGGTCTTTTGTGTCGAGACGATGCAGCCGACGGTCTCCGCTTCTTCCAAAACTTCTTTGCCACGGCTCACATGTGACATGTGACATGGGACATGGGACATGTGGTATGTGGCGTGTGATCTGAACTGATAGGCACTCCTGGTGTCACTACTTATATAAGCGTTGACACACACCGCACTGCTGCAGCCGATGGTCTCACCTTCTTCCAAAAATTCTTTGCCACGGCTCTCATGTGACATGTGGTATTTGGCATGTGACATGTGACATGTGACATGGGACATGTGATCTGATCTGACACACCATTGCAATCACTACATGATGTTGTACGCTTGCTGCTGCTGCAGTAGCCACGTGGCATTGGTTGGTTGGCACACACTGCTGCTGTACCTACATACCAGGGCATTTCAATGTACAGACGTACATACCGAAGTGGCTACTTTCGTGTACTGGACTGGTGTAAAATGGCTCACTTTGACCCACTCAGATTTTATTGAATACTTGGTCCCCAGGAATCCCAGCCCTTTTTACAAATGAAATGGTTCATAGCTGTAAAAACGTTCAGCAGAAATTATGTGGACGGAATACTAATGCGGCTAGTGAAGCTTGCCTTCCGTGATGACTGGTTTGGTCGCCCTGGGGTCGTCACAACCCATAAGTCAACGATACTGGGTTACGCACGTTGAATATGTTTGTGGGCGTGTAATTGTTCGCATATCGATTCGCCAAACCCCCATGTTCTCGCGGCGGGTCACGGCGAAACGAAATCTGGGGCACCTAGTCCCCTTCCGAAATATCGCTGCGAGTGAATACAGACACCACGACGTCCCAGCCCAAGCCAAGCGAGCGACTGGGGAAAATCCGAGCTGAGGATGCTGTGAAAGGACATATTCGGAGGATCGTGAGAGAATATCGATATTCAATATCGCTTTGGGGAATTGATCGGTGAAACGATGCACCACCCGGCGTTGTAACGGTCGGAAAAAACTGTTGAGCGCTGTGTTCAATTCGGCGGGATCACTTTGGCGCGGAGCATTACCCGCTTTTCAACAATTTCGTACAAGCTCAAATGCGAATTTTGCACTTCACAGGGCAACCCGGTCAGCGAATCGATGGCCTTGTGAAATGTGAAAATTGTACGACTCATTTCACCCGCTTAGCGAAACACTGTCACGTCGCAAGCACTTGGATCAGTCATCACTGTAATGCTCGGTTCGTCGGCATTTGCTTCCCAGCGATGCCGCGATTGATAGACGATCAGTCGTCCTGTCTGAATGTTTGTCTAAAATTGTCACTGTAGCTAGGTTACTTATCTGTAAACAGGGTAACCGTTTCACACACCGATCGCGACAGACGATCGTTTGTCTACTTTTACCGCGTCCTGAGCGAGGCATTCACAGGAGTGACGGCGGCTTCGACGACAGGCAAGCCTACAACCTCACAAGAAGCACATCCAAACAAGCAGCAGGCTAACCCTAAATGGCGCCGAATCTTCAGTTCAGATCCATCTTTTAGTATCTGTGCACACGACGTCTACGTGATGCTGTGGAATGTTTTGCTTGATAGTCTTGATCGCCTCTAGTGATGGACGTACCCGTCCGTGAAACTCACTGGGTGTCGTCGCTATGGCTCGTCGCGAGACGGGCGTTCGTGGTGACTTTTCTTGCGACCATGTCGTTCGCGATCCTGCTAGTGTGGGTGTACAATTTCTCGTCCGGCGCGAGTCCCGGTGTCACTGCCTTTCGCGATTCCTTAGATTCCTGCGTGGGAGTCGGCCTCGCGTATAACGGAATGCACAGCATGTCGTTCTACAGCGGTATTGCGTGTTCCGATTTGGTAAACGCAGCCGCCATACGCGGTAAAGCAGGCTTCGAAAAGGGAAGCGAGATTCATTACCGTCACAACTTGGCGACTGGAGGTGACAGCAGCAACGCCAGCGACAGCAGCAGCGAAGTGGGTACTAGCTTAGAAACGAGGAACTCAAGTTCTGTTAGGTATTCAGAAACGGAGAATCCGGAGAGAGATGGTTGCCAGGTCCAGTATAACTCCAGCGTAGATCCTCGCGATATAAAGCCCACTTCGTCATTCACATACTCGGGCTGCCAGATTGAATGGATTACTTTCTCCACCAGGTGTGGAAAAGGCGTTCAACGCTTAGCTAAGTTCTGCGATTTGGTGGGAGTTCCGTTTGCAGTACTCGGTCTGAACGAAACTTGGAAGGGACTCGGCGGCCGTGTGAGGTACTATCGAGAGTATTTAAGGACTCTTCCGCGTGACCGGATTGTGATTATAACGGATGCTGACGACGTCTTGTTCCTGCCGAACCGCGAGTTGTGCGGACCGGATCAACTCGTTAAAGCGTTTCTCTCAGTCATCTCTCCTGTCGTTTTTGGAGCTGAAATTTTCGCCTATCCGACAATCGATGTCATCCCGTTTTATGGACAAAAGCTGAAGTACCCGTTTCCAAATCGGCACCTTAATGCAGGGTCTTGTATCGGGTATGCGTGGGCTTTATCCGAGATGATAGATGCGACGTACACGAGTGACTGTATGGAGGATCAGCGGCAGTTCGTTACTGGTTACTTGGCCCAACCCTACCTCTTCAACTCCCTCCCACGGACGCCTTACCCTGAGACAAATTTCACTTCGATACAGTCACTAATTTTCCATCAAACAGCACTAGCTGCCACGGATAAAGCAGCCACTTCGTCCCGCACGCCTACTCCCGGCACTCTGAAGTACCTCTGTGCTGTACCCGGCCCGTTGCAAGACCTGATTCCAGAGGATGTCACTCCGGAGAAGCTAGAGGCGGCCAGGCAGGCAGCGCCGGCGCCGTTCATCAAGCTGGACCACTACAACGCGCTGATGGAGCTGCTGGGTGGGCGGCGATTCGAGCAGTTTGAAGTGCAGGGATCGGGGGCGGAGATCAAGGTGTATTCCAGGGTTACTAAAGCGTATCCGTGTATTTTCCACCAGTCTGGGGATAAGCTGAAGAGGGGGGTGTTGAATGAGATCGTGGAGAATGGGACCCTGGATGCCATTGCATTTGAAGGGATGGTTTAGCAGCTGTACTACGGTAGTCATTGCTGTTTTGTAGCTTGTGTAATAAGGCAAATGTCATGGAATGGGGGCCTGGCCTGAAGTTGAGTGCATATGAATAAGTGCAGGTGATGGTACTTTGACATGGGGTGGTTTGTCAACAGTAGCTTAGGAGGTTTAGGAAGTACAGGAGCAAAAGAGGGCAATGACTAGAATATGAGGAAAGTAAGTACCAGTACCAGTACAAGCAAGGCGCAAGATGCACCACCAAACAGGTGTAACAAATACCACCATAGTGGTGCTAGGCCAGCCACCTTACTAGTCATGAAAGGCCAGATTGCATGTGCCAAGCATTTGAGAATGGAAGGCCGGCCATCTTATTTCTTCAACTAAGGCAACTTCCGGCTCACCTGGAAGTTACAAAGACCTTCAGCCCATGTGTCATGGAGAGAGTAAGCGACATGCTGTACTCAACCTTATGACCAGGCACAAGCGCAAGCCGGAAATGACGAACTGTGCTAGCGACAATCGACTTCATCTGCAAGCAGCCATAACAACAATGTTCAGGGTATACAAAGGCTGATGAACCAGACAGTGCTGGAGGTAGACCAAGTAACGATAGCAGAGAGATGCCTAGTACCTGAAGATAGGCGAGATCTCTCCCAAGGCAGAGGCGCGGCCCAGCATTGAAAGCCGGGAATTTGAAAGGTGATTCGTTGATCAGCTCACCATTGCTATCAAACCACCGCTCTGGCTTGAAATCTCTCGCATCAGGTCCCCAGATGCGAGTCATGCGACCCATTGCATAGAGCTCGTATTGCACTCGCCAACCACTCTTCACGTGCGTCCCATCAGGAAGCACATCATCCTTCACAACATGCCTGCATTTGGAATACCAGCATGCTTGTGAGTAGGGTTGAACAGCACAGAAAAGTCAGCTGCAACAACATCAGCGCAGTAGGGTAGAACTCACTTGAAATCCGCTGGGACAGATGGATAGAGCCGAAGTGACTCAGCAATTGCTGCATGCACATACTTCATCTGCTTCAGCTCTTCATAGGTGAATGCACCAAAGCTCTTGTCACCTGCGAAAACGGCAGTCAACAAGTCACACCTCAGCCTCATGGAATCACAAGCAAGTGTAACCAGCAATCATTCACCTCAAACACATGGCTGCAAATGGCCCACCTTCTCGTGCAGCAACAATTGATTGCACTTCCGCCAGTATCTTCTCTTCCACAGTGGGGTGCCACGTCAGCAGCCAGAAGAGCCAGGTCATGAGGACGGACGAAGTATCCCTTCCAGCAAGGATGAAATTCGTGCAAACATCCCGGAGGAACCTTTCAGAGTACAGCTGACCACCATCGTCCTTCTCAAGAAGCATCATTCTGCAGACAAAACGAAAGGACACTAATGTATTGGTACGCGTTATGGAGAACCTACAGGTTTCGCTATAAAAAGATTCATTCACCTGGAAAGAATGTCGGAATGGTCAGTTATTGTGCCATCCGATGCTTGCAGTTTCTTCTCGCTCGTCAGCTCGATGCGCCGCTTTCTGATCACATCCTCTGCGAAAGAATCTATTTCCTGCCGGAAAATAGCAGACAAAGAACAAGGAAGTGATGGTGGTTGAATGAGAACACTGGAATCTGGCAACAACATGAAGAGGGGGTGGGGAAGGGGGTTTGTGGTTGTGGATGGCCATACCTTAACAGCAGCATGAAGCGTGCCTTCTTGGAACAAACGGAGAGACCTGAACGCCTTCCAAACAAACTCAGGAATCAAGTTCCTGAAAAGTGTTGCCTGAAGAGAAGACACCAAGCAATTAGACCAATAAAAACAAATTTGAAAATCAAAGCACTGAACATACATAATCAAAGCAAAGCAACTTTACCTTTGTAGCCTCGTCAAATGCTCGTGCAAATGGGACTTCAGGAAGACCTGGCTCAAGACAGCCTGGGTCAACACCAAACCCAATCCTGCAGATGTTATCAAAGGTGTACCGCAGCAGAATGTCCTGAAGGTCCACTGGCGTTCTTGCCATAGAGGCCTGCTTGTCACCAGAGTATCATCAACGCCAAACACCCAAACCACAGGAAAGTAATGCTCACTATGAAGGAATTTCCGTCCAGCCACTCCCCCTAGTACCCATGAAGTCTGACGCGTTGCCTGACGCACTATGAATCAAGGAATCTCTGTCCAGTCATTTTCTAATTGAACCAGGAAATTTTAGCGCCTTGCCTGACGCACCTCTTCCAGGGTAGGGATGAAGCGTTGGAGGAGCTCTTCTTGGATGGACACCATCATGAGGTCTCGCAGTGACCGCTGGGAGAACTCGAGGCTGGCCGTCTTGCGCTGCTGCCTCCACACGTCATCGTCGCTGTTGAATATGCCGTGGCCGAGAAGGTCCTCGAAGTTGGTCTGATGAATTATGCAAAATTTGAAGTTCCATGTTACGTTTTATTAGCAGTGCTTTACACACTCTATCATGACATTGCTGAGAACTTCTTGAAAGCTATTCTGCATACCTGAAAGTTCGGACCCTTGGGATAGTTGGCGAAATTGGTCTTGAGAATGTGCTCGAGGTTCTTAGGGTTGGCGGTGACGACTTCGTTGAGGCCAGGCGCTAGCGAGATGTAGGTCATCGTGGGACTAGCCTGATCAGGATCAACATTCTCCCGGGTTATGATAATGTTTTGCAAGTGAAGAGCAATGTCACGAAATCTGTTACGGATCAAGCTAGAATTGATGATTTACCTCGAGATATGCTGTCGCCCAGTCGTAGAGATACGGAAACGCCAGTAACATTTCAGGCAGGGTGCCGAGAATTGGCCATGCGGGAGGTCCATAGCCTATCTTCTGCCTGTAGACTCCGAGCAGCCAGAAAATGGCTACGACGAGCGAAAGGATCGCGAGACTCGGAGCTAGGAGCACGAAGACGCTCAACGCGTTCACTCTCTCCTGATGGCTGAGGAGGGAAAGAAGAGCCATACTGTGCGACGAAGTGCGACGCAGTGCGACGAAGCAGGTACTACTACCCCCGAGTAATCCAAGTGCACTTTTTCAGAAATGCCGTAATTATTCTTATCGTTTTTGTATTGAGCGCTACAGTGGGAAAAGGGGACTCCTGACGACGAACGATGCCGAGCCGTACAGATCCTCGCTGACTCGGCGACGTCGCGACGACAGCACATTCTGACCGTGCGACAGATGGCATTCGCCGACACATAACCGTTCCTGTCCGTCTTGGGACGCAGCCGATGGTACCTTAGTAGCATCTTGAGAATCACAATAAGCTCGCTCGAGGCACGTATGCGCTCAGCACATAAGAAACCTACACTGTGAAACAACGCTCCCGGTGCTAGCGGTCGCGTTGATGTTGACGCGTGGTGACTGGAAACCTGACGTTCTAGTCGAGGCCCAAGCGGTCCTAACCTAAAATCTGCATGCTGGAAATGTACAGCGAAGGCCATTGTTGCTCGTGTTTACTCTCTTGTGGTAAATTGCGATGTTGTGCGTGTCAGAGCAGTTCATTTGCACTTTCTTACGTTTGGGTAGGGTTTCGAGAAAAAAATACAGCAAGTTCGAGCTTGCTTCTTTCCTCTCCCCTCGATATCAACAATTTGAAGACCGCGTTTGCAATCGCTTGGTATTGGATCGGACTGCCTAACGAAACGAGGAGCATGGTAACCGTTCTTGAAGTGAAATCATCGATGGGCTAGCACTGGTGTAAGCGGTGCAACAATTTCCAACACTTTGGGACGAACAAGAACGAACCTGAGCGTGTGTTTCTGCTTTATTGAACACGTCCTGGCGTTGTGTTCCAAATTATGAAATAGTTGGTGTTTCCTAGACGCCACGAGCTCGCATGTCAGTGATTTCTGACGGCTCTTCAACGAAATCATCTAATAACAATCAGCTGTACCGTAAGCATGATATCCCTCGCTCACTCGATATCAACGAGGCTTTCGTTCTTGCGAACAGTTTGCCCTCCTCCCGCTAAGATCACTTTTCGTAGAAGATCAGCGGAACCTGCTGTGGTTATTTGTGTAACATCGCAGGCGAGCGACAGTACAAGGCAGCAGATTCATCCAGACCACGAAAAACGAAAGCCGCTCTCATGTCTGCCGGGGGAGCATCGGCACCAGAATAATAGCTCGCTTAAAAACAATCGCGGGAATCAGCACTGGCAGCAGCAGCAGCTGTTCTTGCAACCGCTGCTGCCGTTTCCTGCTGCGCCACCCTCCCGGCTATCTACAGTTCAGGTACGGGCAGCTTCACGGCATGTTATGGCTGCCGCCGGGGCCTTCGGGCAGCCCAGAAAAAAGAAGCGAGACAAGGTGGTGTACGTGTGCGATCAGTGCGGAGACGAGCGCAAGCAGTGGTGGGGGCAATGCTTTGCCTGTGGCGCGTTGCGCAGCATGAAAAGATTTACGGTGACCGACGATGAGCCAGGGGGAGGTGGTGGAGGCGGGGGGGCAGCAATCCGGGCATTTGAACGGTCTAGGGGGAATGCGGGTAACCAGGGAATCAGGGATGATCCGAAAAGGCGAAGAGCAGACGAAGCGAGCAGCAGTGGTAACGGTGCTAGCAGTGGAGTGAGGAGAACATATGCTCGAACAGATGCTGGTGGTAGCAGCACTGGCGGTGGTCGTAGCACTGGATCAATGCGGCTAGGTGCAGTGGCACTTGAGCTGGACGAGGAGACAGGTGAGGAGGAGGAGGAGGATGGCGAGGAAGGGGAGGAGCGGGAAGAGGGGGAGGGGGACAGTGATCAGTACAGCAGGTCGGGACGGTCAAGTGGGAGTAGTTTCGGTGGCTGGGTGAGTAGCAACGGGAGAAGCAGCAGTGGTTATAGCAGCAGCAGCAATGGTTACGGCAACAGCAGCAGCAGCAGTCTGCTTCTGAGCAGCAACAGGCCACGTGCACGGCCGCTACAAGAGGTCATCGAATCAGCTGGCGACAGCTGGCACTTGTCTCTGTAAGCAGCAAGTGCGTGCGTGCACGGGTTTTGTTTTTAAGGCGCTTCAAAAGTGGTCAAATCAGCTGGCGACAGCCGACTATACTGATTCCGTTTCCTTCTCTTCCCCTTTCCTTCCGTTCTGTGTGCAAAAAGTGCATGTGGCTGGACATTAGTCAGTAGTATCCTTCACTTCCCAAATGTCATGGGTTCACTTTTCCATCACTTCACTTCGATATAGCCTGTTTCACTTCACCATAGCATGCTTTTATGTATGTATCCCAGGTATAACACCTCGCTACCCACTGGGTCAAAACGAGGGTGTTATTTGGCGCAGCGGATTGCCCTTAACCTGCACAACCCACACCTTGCAGCTCGCCACACTCCACTCGACTCTCTTGTACTCTCCATCTATCCATCCATAGGTCACCTTGCTCCCCTGCATGACTCTTTGCGTCCCTGTTGCCCCTGAGCCTGTGGCAGCAATGGGCCGGAGGGGGAGGAGATTTGCAGAGTGCTGGGCGGAGGGGTTGTGCTGGGTGAGTGTGGGTGAGACTGAGTTGATGGGTGTGGGCGGCGGGATGAGATGAGAGTGAATGCGTGGTGTGGGGGCTGGATGAGAGTGAGTGGGTGGGTGGGTGAGTGTGGGTGAGACTGAGTAGGTGAATGTGGGTGGCACCGTGGTGGGTGGGTGTGAGTGGATGAACAGTGTGTGCAAGTTTAACAGGAGGGAGAAAAGAATGGAGGGAGGTGGGGAAGGGAAGAGCGGGTGCAGTCGCCAGAAAAGTGGGATTGGTGTGGTGTGGTGCAACCTGACTGGTGTGGTGCCATTGGTGGGGGGCATGGGGATGTGCACGTGCACCCACCCAGATCCTCATACCCTCATGCCACGAGGATTTGTTTGTAGAGGTCTAATATCTGTCTGCATGTCATCTTCATCCACATCCTTTGGTCACTTACCCCGTGCATGCCATTCACTTTCCTATTTCGCCTCTGCTTTTTTTCTCCTTTCTTAAAGCTGCCATGCTCTCTGGTGCATGCTGGTGTCCGTCTAGTTGTCTTTTCCTGGTCAGTTTTACATTTCATTGGTTTTGTTACCTTCCCCTTCACTGTTGTTCAAATGCTGCCGGCCAGGTTCACTAGTGCTTGTGTCTGGCAGCCCAGGTGCTGGAAAGAGCACTCTCCTGCTTCAGGTGATTTTTCAGGCATATGCTTTGCAGGATCAGGTTAACTTCAAATATTTATGTTCCTTGTTTCGGATGTGTTTTTAGACAGTTGCTTTCTGCTATATATGCGTGTCCCCCCTCATCTCAAACTGCAGTGAGGTTGTTTCTTGCTAGCTTCAATCATCCATATGTTCCCTTACCCTTCTTTCTATCCCCCCTAACCTTCACGGTCACCGCTGTTCCCATGTCTACTGGGGCAGGAGGCAAAAGGCTAACAATAGTCCTCGCATAAAAAGCTGTTACATTGTAACCCTAGTTTGTATGCCCCGTACCCAACTGTCAACTGTTACTGCTCCCTCAAATGTTTCCTCAACTGTTACTGCTCTGTCTGTCCTTATGTGTGTGTGCCCTTCCTAAATTGTTTCGCTTTCCCACCAATCTACAGCTGGCGGGTCTGCTGGCTGAGGAGGCGCAGGGCTCGCAAACAGGAGGCTCACCGCGTGCCGTGCTTTACGTGTCGGGGGAAGAGGTGGGTTGGGAGAGGTGTCTTGGGTGGGGAAGGTGGTTGGGTCGGGGGAGGTGGCTGGCCGTTCTGCCTGAAAAAGTATCGCAAACAGGAGGCTCCCCTCCGGCCTTGCTTTATGTTTCAGGCGAGGAGGTGGGCTGGGGGAGGGGAGCTTAATGAGGAGGTGAGTTGGGGAGGAGGTGAGCTTGGGGGAGGTGACCGGCCGCTTTTCCTGCGGCTGGAACAGGCGATCAGGCAAGAGGCTCGAGAACTGGAGGGTCCCCGCCGGCTGTGCTCTACGTGTCAGGCGAGGAGGTGGGCTGGGGGAGGGGAGCTTAATGAGGAGGTGAGTTGGGGAGGAGGTGAACTTGGGGGAGGTGAGCTTCAGGGAGGTGGCTGGCCTTTTCGCCTGATGCCCTTCCCCCACCCCCTCCCCCCTGCTCGTACCCCTCTGCAGCGCAAGGAGCAGCTGCCAGGGCATCAGCTGCTGCGTTTCCAGTTACCCCCCTCCACCCAACTCGCTGCTCTACCCCCTCCCTATCCGTCTCTGCAGCGCAAGGAGCTGCTGGTCATGCACGCCAAGTGGTTGCTATGTGTTGCCTCCCTGTCCACTCCTTCTCCCTTCTCCTTCCTCTCTCCTTCTCACCGCTCTGCAGCGCGAGGAGCAGCTGGCCACACGCGCCAAGCACCTGTTTCTTTCTTGATGACCTCAATCCTCTTCCCCCCGTCCCTCCCCTCCCGCCTCTTTATTTGCAGCGAGAGGAGCAGCTGGCCACACGTGCCAAGCGCCTGGGTACGAACAAGGCACTTGCACCGGTTTCTTCCTTGATGACCTCAATTCTCTTCCCCCCTTCCCTCCGCTCCTGCCTCTTTATTCGCAGCGAGAGGAGCAGCTGGCCACACGTGCAAAGAGGCTGGGCATCACGGCAGACAACCTCTTCCTGCTCTCCGAGAACAACCTCGAGGTACCACCTTCCCCCATGCCTGTTCCCTCTGTTTCAAGTGAGAACCAAGTCGGGGTAACCAAGCCTCCTCTGGCACTGACTGACTCCACCTGCTGGGCATCACGGCAGACAACCTCTTCCTGCTCTCCGAGAACAACCTCGAGGTATAACAGACGAACTGCCTTACCGACTTTTGTTTTGAGTGAGAACCCTTGTAACCCACCCCTCTTGTCTCTCATAACTGCTGATAACCTGCTTGCAGAGCATCCTGGAAAGCATTCCGGAGAGTATCCTGTGGAAAGCATCTAAGAGCCGCGCGCTGTGGTAGTGGACTCCATTCAGACCATCAATTGTTCCCACCCCACCACCGCCACCACCTCTTTGCTGTCGCCCCAACTCCTTTCCCACCGCCTCTTTCCCCCTGCAGAGCATACTGGAGAGCATTTCGGAGAGCCGCGCGCTGTGATTGTGGACTTTATTCAATTCAGACCATGCAGTGTCCCACCCCACCGTCACCACCTCTTTCCTCTTGTCCCTCCCCCTCCCCCCCCTGCAGAGCATACTGGAGGGCATCACGGAAATTGAGCCACGCGCTGTGATAGTGGACTCCATTCAGACCATGCACCTGCCAGGTGTCACCGGCTCATTGGGCAGTGTCAGCCAGGTGAGGCAGGGCTGGGGGGAGGGGAGGGAAAGGGAGAGTAGAGGGAGAGGGAGAGTAGAGGGCGAGGGTGAGGGAGAGAAGAGAGAGAGGGAGAAAAGAGATTGAGGTGAAAGCAGCAGCTTAGAGGGGAACCTGAGACTCTGTAACACTTGTGAGTGAATGTGGGACGAACGTGTTGGTGTTAGCCCTCAATCTCACATTTTGTACTTGTACTTTTATATCCTAGTTTAGTGTAGTTTGCACTTTGTGTTTGGTTGGGTGTACACCCACATCCCAACCAAACCCAAATGTAATCTCCAAGCAATCTCCAACCCACCAATTGGAGATTGCCTTGGGATTACCAATGATTCCCTAGGATTGCTCCCTAATTCCCTCCTCATCCATACCTTGCTCATTTCTGATGTACTTAAAGAGCTTTGAGCTCACTATTGATGTATTAGTTCTAAGCCTAAGTTCTGACAGAACGGAGGCGATCTTTCCTTCCGCCCCCCTCCTCCCCCCCGTTCCCTCCCCCTCCCTCCCCTCCCTCCCCTCCCCTCCCTCCCTTCCCCTCCCCTCTGCTCTCCCTTTTCTTCCCAACCCCTCTCTCTCAGCTGCGGGGGTGCACACTGCTGCTGCTACTGGAGGCCAAGAACCGAGGCGTTTCCATCTTCATGTGAGCTCCGCCCACTTGCCACCCGCATTGCCACATCTGCCGTCAGCAGATTCTCCTCCCTCCCCTCCCAACCCGTCCATCTCAGGTGCGGGAGTGCACGCTGCTGTTGCTACTGGAGGCCAAGAACCGAGGCATTCCCATCTTCATTGTAAGCAATCCCTTTCTGACAATCCTCAAAAGTGCATTGTAAGCCCCGCCCACTGCCACATTGCCACATCGCTCTTTGCCCCTTCCCTTCCCTTCCTTCCCGCACGCTGCTGCTGCTACTGTGAGGCCAGTCAAGGCATTCTTGTCGTGATTGCGAGGGGCCTTTTGGAGTGGCTGTGATATAGTGTAACGGGTTCTCAAGAAAATGTATGCATCGATTGTTATCACTCCCCCCTTGTATCCCGCACAACAGGTGGGACATGTGACTAAAGCGGGGGACGTGGCGGGACCAAGGGACCTGAAGCACATAGTGGATGTAGTGATGCATGTGGAGGTGAGTGGTGCATGTGGAGGTGAGTGGTGCATATGGAGGTGAGTGGTGCATGTGGAGGTGAGTGGTGCATGTGGAGGTGAGTGGTGCATGTGGAGGTGAGTGGTGCATGTGGAGGTGAGTGGTGCATGTGGGAGGTGAGTGGTGCATGTGGAGGTGAGTGGTGCATGTGGAGGTGAGTGGTGCATGTGGAGGTGAGTGGTGCATGTGGAGGTGAGTGGTTGCTGTAGTTGACTGTAGATGCTGTGACACTGTCTTGCTGGTAGCCAGTGGCGTCAAAACCAGGTGTGTGAGTTGTCTAGGGCAGGGTGTGTCAATGCCAAGGGATCTGAAGCACATAGTGGGCGTGCTAAGCATGTGGAGGTGAGTGGTGGTTGTGACTGTTACTCTGTAACTATTGGGGGTGACATTGGTGCGTAGGAAGTGACGTCAAAGCTAGGTTTCACTCGTCAGAAGAAAGGGTGTGGTAGTGTTGAGGGGCCTGAAGCTAGACATGATCACGAGTCGAGTCGAGCCGAGTCACCTCGAATCGCGGTCGAGTCGGGAGTTGCGTCGAGTCGAGTCGAGTCGAGCCAGTTTTCCGGAACTGCCGACTCGTGCTCGACTTCTGAAATCGAGTCATGCCTTGACTCGAGCACGAGTCAACAACTCGCGAGTCAGTCTTGACTCGACTTAACCGTAAAGAATTTTTAAGGGCCCCAAAAGTCGTGTCCTGATTCGTAGCTAGCATGCAAGGTAGGAATGACAAAATCCCGTCCCTTCCCCTTTCAGCACAGGTAAATTGATGCGCACCCAAAATTGCGTGAAAGGCGGAAATTGGGTGTCGGCGGAATTTGCGTGACAGGCGGAAATTGGGTGTCGGGGGAATTTGATGTGTGACAGGCGGAAATTGAGTGTTGGGGGGGGGATTTGCATGTCGAGCGGAAATTGAGTGTCAAGGAAGATTTGCTAGTCAAGCGGAAATTGAGTGATGGTCAGGAATTCGGTGACGGGAGAAATTGCATGAGGAAAGGAGGGGGAATTGACAACGGGAATCCACGTGGATAAAGTTGGTGGCCCTCGAGTCAGGCCAGCTCGAATCGAGTCAGCCGACTCGCCGACTCGTGGCTCACCAGACTGTCCAAAGTCGAGTCGGGCGATGCATCGAGATTTCTCCTCAGTTCGACTCGACTCGACTCTACTCGAGTCAGGAAAATAAAATAACTGACTCGACTCGACCTAAAGTCGAGTCGAGCCAGCGAGTCGAGCTAAAACTCGCCTCGATTGATCATGTCTACCTGAAGCACATAGTGGATGTGGTGGTGCATGTGGAGGTGAGTGGGAGTGGGTGAGTGTGACTGTAACGGGTATAAGTGACACTGGTAGGGTTTAACATCAAAGCTAGATGCGAAATGTCAAGGAGGACGGTCGTGTTGGAAAAGAATTATCTGAATCACATAGTGGATGTGGTGTGGTGATGCAAGTAGGGGTGAGTGATGCAAGTGGGGTGGGGGTGATGCAAGTGGGGTGGGGATGATGCACGTGGGGTTGAGTGATGCACGTGGGGTTGAGTGATGCACGTGGGGTTGAGTGATGCACGTGGGGTTGAGTGATGCACGTGGGGGTGAGTGGGTGGTTGAGCGTGACTGTAACTGGTGTGGCACTGGTTGAGAGTGATGTAGGTTTTAGATGAACTGAAGCACATAGTGGAGGTAAGTGGTGCTTCTCTTATCGCTATGAGTGAGGCGCACACACATGGTACCACCATCACCACCGGACAGGTGACTTTTGAGTCAACTCAAAGGCTAATTTGAATGAAACACACCTTATGCCATCGCCCACCTGCTGCGCTTCTCCCAGTTTTTTCTTCATTCACCCTCTCCTTCGCGCTCACCCTCATCCGCACCCTCCCTCTCCCTCACCCACATTCTCATCCCCTCCACACCCACCAGAGCGACAGGCAGGACAGCCACCGCATCCTGAGCACCAGCAGGAACCGACATGCTCTTTCCCTTGCCTTTCCGATCATCCTCTTTCGTCCTCCCACTTACCACACCCACCAGAGCGACAGGTGGGACAGCCATCGCATCCCCTAAACACCAACAACCCCTCGTTTACTCTCCGTCTCCTCTCCCCCTCCCCCTCCTCGCCCTCTTCCTCTCCTCATCCCTCCACACCCACCAGAGCGACAGGCAGGATAGTCACCGCATTCTTAGCACCAGCAAGAACCGATTCGGCTCCACTGACGAGGTGAGTGAGTGGAGGGGAGAGGTGGAGGGGAGTGCGTATGTGGATGCGAATGAATATGTGCGTGAAGGTGAGTGTGCGGAGGAAGGTCAGGTCATCACACCTTCACACCAGAGCGACAGGCAGGACAGTCACCGCATTCTTAGCACCAGCAAGAACCGATTCGGCTCCACTGACGAGGTGAGTAAGTGGAGGGGAGGGAAGTGTGTGGAGGTGAGTGAGTGTGTGGAGGTGAGTGAGTGTGTGGAGGTGAGTGAGTGTGTGGAGGTGAGTGAGTGTGTGGAGGTGCGTGAGTGTGTGGAACCGATTGAGTGTGTGTGTGGAGGTGAGTGTGTATGTGGAGGTGAGTGAGTGTGCAGAGGTGAGTGTGTGGAGGTGAGTGTGTGGAGGTGGGTGGGGTTGTGTGCAGATGAACCATCACCCATCCCCTATCCCTACTCCCAGGTGGGCGTGTTTGAGATGGCAGCACGTGGCATGGTGGCAGTGCCCAACCCCAGCCTCGCCTTCCTCCCGTCTACCCTCCATTTGAGCAAACGGCTGAAAGTTCCCTCTTTGCCTCCCCCTTCCCCGTGTCTTCCTCTTCTCTCCCGTTACCAGGTGGGTGTGTTCGAGATGGCAGCACAGGGCATGGTAGCAGTACCCAACCCCAGCCTCGCCTTCCTCCCGTCTACCCTCCATTTGAGCAAACGGCTGAAAGTTCCCTCTTTGCCTCCCCCTTCCCCGTGTCTTCCTCTTCTCCTCTCCCGTTACCAGGTGGGTGTGTTCGAGATGGCAGCACAGGGCATGGTAGCAGTACCCAACCCCAGCCTCGCCTTCCTCCCGGCCAGTCGCACGCGGGGCAGTGCAGCGGTGGCGGTGGTCATGCATGGGAGCAGACCGTTGCTGCTGGAGGTGCAGGTGAGTGTTGTGTTGTGTTATCACATGGGTAAGGGCGAGGTACAGGTTGCAGCCGCACGTGGGGCAGTGCAGCGGTGGCCGTGGTCATGCATGGCAGCAGGCCGCTGCTGCTGGAGGTGCAGGTGGGTGATTTCGTTGAAGGATGCTGGGATGGAGGGCCGAGATCAACGTTGCAGTATGGTAATCGGCAGTGCAGCAGTGGCTGTGGTGATGCATGGCAGCACGCCGTTGCTGCTGGAGGTGCAGGCGGGTGGATGTGCAATCACGATACACAAGGGCACGGGCAAGGTACAGATTAAAGCAGCAGGGGCAGTGCAGCAGTGGCTGTGGTGATGCATGGCAGCAGGCCGCTGCTGCTGGAGGTGCAGGTGGGTAATTTGTGGGGGAGGGGGGCGAGATCGAGGTTGGTGATAGTGGTAACAGGCAGTGCAGCAGTGGCTGTGGTGATGCATGGGAGCAGGCCGCACTTGTTGGAGGTGCAGGTAGGTGCTTGGTCGCGGTTGTGCATGTAGCATGAATTGTGACATGTACCGTACTGCCAAGGGTGTGGACATCTACATGTACCTAGGTGACCTGCCTCACCATTCTCGCCAAGGTCATGTCGGCCTCTTCCTCTTCCCTCCCATGCACTGCAACACCAAGCCCTGTGTGTGAAGGCCATCCCCAACATTCTCCCCCTACTAAGACTGCCAATGGGGTGGACATGTACCGCCTCACCATTTTCACCATTCTCACCATTCTCACCTCCTTATGCCCACATGTCGTCCTCTTCCTCTTCCCTCCCGTACACTGCAACACCAGGCTCTCTGCGTGAAGGCCATTCCCAACATCCCGCCCACCAGGACAGCCAACGGGGTGGACATGTACCGCCTCACCATTCTCACCAAAGTCATGCGCCACGTTGGCCTGCCCATCGGCTCTCGGGTAAGTGTGCCTGCACCTGCACTAGCTACTCTTCGTATCCCATCTACCCATGCCTCTCTCTCGCCTCACCATCCTCACCAAAGTCATGCGCTGTATTGGCCTTGTGAATCATCAACCCTGGTGGTGAACATGGTGGGGGGCCATGCACGTCAAGGAACCTGCTGCTGTGCTCCTCTCACTGCCAAACTATAATACCTATTGACTTCGCTCCTCCTCCTACCAATCGGGTGTGTGCTGCTGCGTCCTCCAGTTCGGCGCCTGGGGCTCCTCCGGCGACCCCTATGGCTCTGCCGATCACTCTGGTGATGGCTCCCGTGGCTGGTCCTTCCGTGGCTGCGCAACTTTCTTTGGCACCTGCACAGGAAGTAGGCCCTATACCTGCTCTTGTTAGCACTGGACGTTATCTTCGTTCTTCGTCGCAACCGGGATTCCGTTTGAGTCGTTGTCGCAAGCCTGGTTCGTGACACTGAAGCGGTTGTTGCCGTCCTACTTTTGAGGCCATGGAGGCTCGTCGCAGTCGGATTGTGACCTGCGTGCAAAGCGTCATGCGTGGTCCTGAATTTGCCATCGGTCGTGTTCCTGTCGTTGAAGCTTCAGTGGAAGAGATTATGCGCCTCCCTCGCCACTCCTATTGCCTCCACGTTTTTCAGTGGCCGATTGCTGACGACGTCAACAGGTTTCAAAGGTTCTTTTCGTCTCGTACCGGTAGTTGGAAGACTCGTCCATTGAGATCAAGCTCTTCCACTGTCATTTTCCGGAGTTTACTGCGAAGAAAACTCGGGGTGAGGCAGTGCTGGTGCTCTGCAACATCCACTTCGGCCTCTCCACCCAGGATACGAGTTTAATCTTGATGGACAGGCCTTTCGACGAGTGGTACGAGTTCGGAAAGAGCCTTCAAAATCTGTTGGCGTCGTCAGTAGTCGGCCACTGGAAGACGTGGCGGCAGTATGAGTGGCGGGGGGGCGCAAAATCTATTCCAAAGAAGCTTCAACGACAGAAACACGACCTCAGGCAAAATCACGGCCACGCTGAACGCTGCGCATGCGGGTCACAATTTGACAGCGATGAGCTTCCATGACCTCAGAAAATAGGATGACAACAACCGCTTCAATGTCACGGGCCAGGGTTGCGACAACGATTCCAATAGGTCACAGTTACAACGAAGACGGAGGTAACGTCCAGTGATAGCAAGAGTATAAACAGGGCCTACTTCTTAAGCATGTGCAGAAGAAGACAGTGCAGCCACGGAAGGGCCAGCCACCGTAGCCATCGTTGGAGTAAACGATTGATTTATAGGGGTTGCCGGGAGAGCCACATGCGCCGAACTGGAGAACGCAGCAGTACAAACCCGCTTCACAGGGGAATGAGCGGAGACAACATAAACTCATTGTACCCTGTTAACCCGTTACCCTGTTTCCCCAACCCTTGGTGCCCTTATCGCCCCTACCAGGATGTAGTGGTGAACGTGGTGGGGGGCATGCAGGTGAAGGAGCCTGCTGCTGACCTTGCCATTGCTGTCGCTATTGCCAGCAGGTGTGTTGCGCCCTTGCTGCCTGGCAAAATTTACTTGTATATTCTCATCTTGTTTTTGAGTGCATCTGTCCCTCTGTGCGTGGCATCATCTGCTTGCATGCATGTCTCACTGCTCATTCTGCTCCTCACCTCTTTCAATAAACCTTTCTGTGCTTTTCCTATACTGCCACTATTTGCATCATCCTTCCCCTCCCTCCATCCGCCCATCATCCCACTGCCTCCCAATCTGTACGAGAGCCCTGTGCCAGCAGACATGGCCTTCATTCCACCAAAACCTCCTTTCTCCATCCCCCTATCATCTTATTGCCCGCCCGTCAGTCTGTACGAAAGCCCAGTGCCAGCAGACACGGCCTTCATTGGCGAGATTGGGCTCAACGGGGAGTTGAGAGGGGTAAGATGTCGAACTACGTGGGGCATTGGAGCACGCACAGTACACTCCTAAAATGCGTTATCACAATGTCATTCAATCACTGTACATTGTTGTTGTTTGGTGCACATAGAGGGGGGTGGCTCCTAACAGGCTCTACTTCTTGTTCACTGTTTTTTGCCAGGTGACTCAGCTGGATCGGCGGGTGAATGAGGTGGCCAAGCTTGGGTTTTCTCGCTGTGTTGTGCCGGCAAAGCAGTGGAAAGGGCAAGCAGCACCCAGTGGATGTGAGGTGGTGAAATGCGAGGGACTACGAGATGCATTGAAGGCAGTAGGGATACAGAGCACAGGTTATGGGGGTAAAAGAAAGGTCAAAGAGGAGGAAATTGATGAAGATGAAGACTGCCTGTAGAATCAATGCTGGTACAATCATTGTGTAGATTTGTTTTTTTTTTTCGTAAGTGTACTGCGTAACACAGGGTTCGAGATTCACTGTCTTCGCCAATAAATATTTTGCCTTTGGCTGGCCGCATCGTGCACTCGGCCCAGCTGATTGGCCGTGCAAAAGCGCACTATGGTCGTGACACGACATCGCTGTCGTACGAGAGGTTTCACGAATTCGGGAAAATTCGTACGGTCGTCAACCCGTACCGCAGAAACAACCACAAAACAGGCCGTTCGCCTGCTCGTACGATTCCACGGAATTGTCTGTGGTTCAAAGACTATCCCCATGAACCGATCTAAACCGCAAAGAAAGCTGCTGACGTCAGCTCCGCTCATTCACATTCAACAACCGTTTGCTCTGGTCGGTCAGCCCCTTGGTTTACATCGCAGCACTGATCAAGACCACTGCTATTGACTACTAGGATCATATTTTAGGCTGCTGCGCCCGCTCCTCGCCCTTCTCTCTGTCCCCCTTTCTCCCCATTTCCTCCCTCTCCCCCTTCGTCGTTGCGCATCCCCGCCGCTTCTTCCGCCAACCCCTGCTCGCGCCTCCAATGACGTCCCTCGCCGCGCAAAATCTCTCTCGCGAGCTCGGCGCTCTTTCCGCCGCCCAGCGTTCCGACGTCGCGGATTTCCCCGTCAGACAAACATCTGTTCCTCTAGCGGGTGTGACTAAAACGAATCGCCGCGTGCGAGCAGCTGCGGACTCCAGCAGCAGCGAATCGCAAGGCGCGCCGTCGAATGCGGTCAGCCGTCGATCGCTGCTCGCCGTGTCGCTGTCTGCTGCGACTCTCGCACCGCTCCTGTCGCCGTCCCTCCCCTCGTTTAGGTACATCAGCTTGCATCCGTGTTGACTTTTGAGTCGACTTGAAAGTCAACTTGCTACCCTCGTTTAGCTACGTCAGCATGCATCCGTGGATTCAAGCCCTTGTCACTTTTTAGAGCACGTCGCCTTCCTGCCTGCAGAGTAAGCTGTCCGTTTGTCAGCTGTCAGTTTGTCAGCTGTCAGTTTGTCACCTGTCAGTTTGTCAGCTGTCAGTTTGTCAGCTGTCAGTTTGTCAGCTGTCAGTTTGTCAGCTGTCAGTTTGTCAGCTGTCGCCGTCCCTCCCCTCGTTTAGGTACATCAGCATGCATCCGTGTTGACTTTTGACGGGGAAAGTCAACTCGCTTCCCTCGTTTAGGTACATCAGCATGCGTCCGTGCCGTCGCTCCTCTCTCTCCGTGGCCTCAAGCTCTTGCCACGTGTCAGAAGCACCGTCGCTCCTCAGATTCATGCTTGTACTTCGCTAGAATCAGCTGTCAGATTGTCATTTTGTCAGTCTGCCAGCGGCCTTCGTCGGTCTGCCAGCTGTCTTCGTCAGTCTGCCAGCTGTCTTCGTCAGTCTGCCAGCTGTCTTCGTCAGTCTGCCAGCGTTCTTCGTCAGTCTGCCAGATGTCTTCGTCAGTCTGCCAGCTGTCTTCGTCAGTCTGCCAGTTGTCTTCGTCAGTCTGCCAGCTGTCAATCGGCTAGGTGCAGTCCACATCGCAATCACCCCCACCTGTTTCCCCGCGCGCCTCCCTTTCCCTACCCTCCACCCCACTTCCTTCCCTTCCCTTTCCACCCCTCACCCCCCCCTCCCACCCTGCCCTCTCTCCCACTCTCTTCTCTGTCGCCCTCCCCCTCTCCCACCGTCCCTCTCGAATGGTCCTTGCACCGTCTCTCTCTCTCACCCTCCCCCTCTCCGTCGCTCGCCCTCGTTCGCTCGCGATTCTCCCAACCAGTCCAGTGGCCCCAGCGCACGCTGCTGACGTGGATCTGTCCCCTGCTGAGCTGGAGGCGGCAGTGCGGCGAGCAGTGGCGAAGGTGGTAACCAGAGCCAAGGCACCTGGCGCGCTGAGGATCGTGTTTCACGACGCGGGGACGTACGACCTGGCGACCAACACAGGTGAGATGCTCTAGTTCGGACAAAATCACCTGTAGCCATCAATCCCTTTGTATGCCTGTGCCATACGACCTGGCGACCAACACAGGTGAGACGCTCTAGTTCGGACAAAATCACCTGTAGCCATCAATCCCTTCGTATGCCTGTGCCATACGACCTGGCGACCAACACAGGTGAGACGCTCTAGTTCGGACAAAATCACCTGTAGCCATCAATCCCTTTGTATGCCTGTGCCATACGACCTGGCGACCAACACAGGTGAGACGCTCTAGTTCGGACAAAATCACCTGTAGCCATCAATCCCTTCGTATGCCTGTGCCATACGACCTGGCGACCAACACAGGTGAGACGCTCTAGTTCGGACAAAATCACCTGTAGCCATCAATCCCTTTGTATGCCTGTGCCATACGACCTGGCGACCAACACAGGTGAGACGCTCTAGTTCGGACAAAATCACCTGTAGCCATCAATCCCTTCGTATGCCTGTGCCATACGACCTGGCGACCAACACAGGTGAGACGCTCTAGTTCGGACAAAATCACCTGTAGCCATCAATCCCTTCGTATGCCTGTGCCATACGACCTGGTGACCAACACAGGTGAGACGCTCTAGTTCGGACAAAATCACCTGTAGCCATCAATCCCTTCGTATGCCTGTGCCATACGACCTGGCGACCAACACAGGTGAGACGCTCTAGTTCGGACAAAATCACCTGTAGCCATCAATCCCTTCGTATGCCTGTGCCATACGACCTGGCGACCAACACAGGTGAGACGCTCTAGTTCGGACAAAATCACCTGTAGCCATCAATCCCTTCGTATGCCTGTGCCATACGACCTGGCGACCAACACAGGTGAGACGCTCTAGTTCGGACAAAATCACCTGTAGCTATCACAGAGCCAAGGCGCCTGGCGCGCTGAGAATCGTGTTTCACGACGCGGGAATGTACGACCTGGTGACCAACACAGGTGAGCCGACATGTGACACACTGGCCTAGCCTCGGTTATTCACATGATATTTACAAGTTATTGATACACCTATGACGTACGACCTGGCGACCAACACAGGTGAGCCGACACGGAACGCTCTAACCTCGGTACAAGGTGACACACTCTACCCTCGGTATAATCACATGAGATGATACCAACGAGCCGTTCGTACACCCATGACGTACGATCTGGCAACCAACACGACAGTTGACTGACATGACATGACACACTCTATCCTTTGTACGACCACAGCCACGCCGCACCCATCAGCCTTGTCCATGCCTACAGGTGCGTCCATGCCGATGGTCCTGGCTGTTTGGCCAGTCTGCTACCGCCTGGGTTTCAAAAGGCATGCTTGTGTGGTGGGTGGGTAGCACACCCATAACCCCCCAGGACGCACCTGTCGCCCTCCCACACTCAATTGGGGCTCACCTGTTGCCCCACCTTCACTGGTCACATGCAACATGCAGGTGCGGCGTTCTGTTTCCATGTCAGCTCGCTGACAACAACAGGTGACTGTGACTCTGACAGTAGGTCGGAGGTTAGAGGAGGCTAAAAAACACCTGTGACTGTACTCTCAAACCCAGGGGGCACGCACGATGTAACTCACAACTTCAAGTGGCATGGGCAATCCAAAGATTGCCTCTGAAGTTGGCATCTGTCCAGGCAAGCCCGTGAATGCGTGTTCCTTAACTTGTCTCTCTGGTGCCTGTGTGCGTGTCTCTGTATCTGTGCCTGCACCTGTCTGTACATGCATGTGATATGCCGGCGAGCGGTCTGTTTTGGCAGGGGGGATGAACGGGTCAGTGCGCTTTGAGTTGAAGCGGCCGGAAAATGATGGGCTCAAGCGAACCATCAAAGTAACCTCCTCCCTCCTCGCTCTTTCCTCGTATTCCGCCTCAAATCTCCTCGCAACATCTCTCAAATGCATCCCAAGTCTTATTCATTCCATCCCCAACACACTTTTCGATCTCCTGCTTCTGTCTTTACAATTCAAGTCTCGATTCTTTGTCCCCTCATCATACAAGTGTCGATTTTATTCCAATCAATCCCCTTCACTGACAAACGCTCGTCCTTCCATCCACCCTCGTGCTCCCCCTCCCCCATCATCTCAGCAGCTATTATTTCAAAACGCTTTCCTCCCCACCAGGTGCTGAGAAGATTCACCTGGCCCTAATAGTGCTCAAGTTCCATCGCCCACTCTCGACCCCTCTCACAGCCCTCCAGTGAAACTCGTTCTCTCTTCCATACCCCCCTCCCTCCCTCCCTCCCTCCCTCCCTCCCTCCCTCCCTCCCTCCTTCCCTCCCTCCTTGCCCCCCGCCAGGTGCTCGAGAAGGCTCTCTTGGAGCTGGTTCTGCTCAAGTTCCGTCGCCCACTCGATTGAGAGGAGTCTAGTGGGCGAAACGCGTCTCAGAGCCCTCCAGTGAAACGCGTCTCTTCCATCTCTCCCTCCCTCCCTCCTGGCCCCACGCCAGGTGCTCGAGAAGGCTCTCTTGGAGCTGGGACCCTTGGCAAATGGTGAGCCGGGCTGAGAAAGGCAAGGGATGGTGGCGCATTTTTTGCGTTGGGGTAGTGGCATGGCTTGGCATGGCATGGCATGGTAGCACACACATGCCCCATGCCCTGTTCTGAAACGTCTCAAATCAGGTGCTCGGGAAGGCTCGCCTGGAGCTCGGACCCCTGGCAAATGGTAAGCCGGGCTGAAAAAAGCAAGGGATGGTGGCGTATGTATGCGTCGAACTGCGGTAGTGGCATGGTAGCACATGGATGCCGTTTTTTGAAACGCCTCAAAACAGGTGCTCGAGAAGGCTAGGCTCGACTGGAGCTCGGACCCCTGACAAACGGTAAGTTGGGCTGGGGAAGGCAAGGGATGGTGGCGCATGCATGCATTGCACTGGAGTAGTGGCACGGCATGGTAGCACATACATGCCACATGCCCTGGTTCGAAACGTCTCCAAGCAGGTGCTCGAGAAAGCTTGCCTGGAGCTCGGGCATCTGGCAAACGGTAAGTCGGGTTGGGTAAGGCAAGGAACATAGCGCCTGTGTTGTGCATTCGGGTAGTGGTATGCTTGCAGCACATGGCATGGCACATGCGTGTGAACCTGAGTGCTTTGCACATGAATATTGCCTTGGGTAGCACATGTCACATGCATTGGCAGTGGCAGTGGCAGTGGCGGGGGCATGTGCGGTGCAGACATGCGCTGACAATGTTGTATTGTAGTAGGGGTCAGACATGCTTTTTGGTGCAGACTGCGATATTCGTGTGAATTTTGAGAATTCTCAAAAGTCACACGGACGGACAGATTTGCTGGCAGTGGCGAGGACTGCTAGAGGACTTTTGGAATTGAAAGTGCCCTTAGCCCTTACGAAAGACAGCACGTGCACGTGGAGGACACATGTGCTAGCTGCCTGCTCTGGTGACACGGCTATCTCAGGGATTTTTTGAGAATTGTAAAAAAATCCCTGCAACGTCAAGACAGCACGTGCACGTGGAGGACATGTGCTGGCTGCCTGCACTGAGACGATTTTTGAGGCGCCTCAAAAATGGACACATGTGCTGGCTGCCTTGCCTGCACTGGTGACATGACTGTCTCTTCCCGCTTCCCTGCCACTCTCTCCAATGGTGTGGTGTCCTGGGTGGATCCCACGCCAGTTGCATGGTATCCTGGGCATACCCAGTGGAGTCGTGCATCGGGTGCTTGTCTTGCCTGTAACTTCCCCCTCTGTTTCCCCCCCCCCAACCCAACCCCCTCCAACCCTTTTTCTAGTGGTGTCATGGGCCGATCTCATGGCAGTAGCGGGGGCATACGCAGTGGAGTCGTGTGGCGGGCGCCTGTCCTGTTGTCTGCACCTTCCGACTCCCTCTCTCCCCGCCACCACTCTTCTGCCTTCTCGCCCCTCATTCCCCCTCCCTCTCTCCAGTGGTGTCATGGGCCGATCTCATGGCAGTGGCGGGGGCATACGCAGTGCAGTCGTGTGGCGGTCCGCACATCCCTGTGCGCATGGGCAGGCGGGATGCCAGGTAAGGTTTGCGAGGTGAATGGGTGGGTGCTCCTGCTGTGTTGCAGGGAGAGAGAAGCACACTGGATCAGGACAAACTGCGAGGCAGGAGGGAAGGAGTGATCATGTGTGTGGCAGGCAGCAGGGGCTGCTGCAGTGCAGTGGGGTCGTGTGGCGGATCGCACATTGCTGTGCGCATCGGCAGGCGAGATGCTGGGTGAGGGGGGATATTGCTGCTCTGGTACTGTACAGTCAGTGCTGCTGCTGCTGCTGCTTTGGTCGCTGGTCGGGGCAAGAATGCTCTCGTTGAGCAGTGGAGTCCTGTGGGGGGGCGCACATCCCTGTGCACCTGGGCAGGCGCGATGCCTTTTGAGGCGCCTCAAAAGACATCCCTGTGCGCCTGGGCAGGCGCGATGCCAGGTGACGTGAGGGGGTGTGTTGCTGCTCTGGTACTGTACAGTCAGTGCTGCTTTGGGTCGAGCGCTTCGAACTCTTCAATGGGTTTGACTGGTTCGAGACAAGGTGCCGGCTGTGCTTCTTTGAGCCAGGAGGGGCTGGCTTGTGCTGAGCTGACTTGGAGCAGCAGCAGCTTGAAAGCCCTGCCCTTCTCTCACAGCGACTTTTGAGTCGACTCTGAATGTGTCGTGTGCCATTGTAACGAGGTGACTTTTGAGTCGACTCAAAAGTCACTTCGAGCTGAGTGCCGCATGGCAGCAGAAACGTGAAAGCCCTGCCCTTCTCTCACAGCATCTATTGAGCAGCATTCATCTCCCAGATACCCACACTCCCACCCTCCCCAGTAGTTCCAACCATGAGAACCGCATGGCAGCCTAGACTCTGCCCCTTGATTGCCCCGCCCCTGCAATGCTCTGTTTCCCTCTGCTCTGCTCTGCCCCTCCACTCACCGTCCCATTACCGTTCACTCCCCCCTCTCCTCCCCTCCCCTGCCCTGCCCCCATCCCACCAGTGGACCCGACCCTGAGAACCGCATGCCAGCAGGGACACTGAACGCGTTCTTCTCCCTGCAAATCCCTTTCTCTCGCCCACAGCCCCTGTTGCCCTTTCCTTCCCTTTCTCCCCCCTCCCCATCCCACCAGTGGACCCGACCCTGAGCACCGCATGCCAGCAGAGACACTGAACGCCAAGGAGGTGGTTGCCAGCTTCAAGTCCAAGGGCTTCAGGTGGGTTTCAGGTGGGTCTTCAGGTGGGCTTATTTTGGCGTTCATATGAGTCATTGTGGAATGCAGAGCTGCTCAACACCAAGGAGTTGCTTGCCAGCTTCAAGTCGAAAAGCTTCAGGTGGGCTTTCAGGTGGGCTTTCAAGTGGGCTTTCAGGTGGGCTTTCAGGTGGGGCATGAGAGGGTTCACGTGAATCTTTAGGCCCCAGGTGGGTCTTGGGGGGTTTCAGGTGTTTGAATTGGGGAGTTTAACTTGAGTGAGTCCTCAGCAGAGGTATTGAACGTCCACGGAGGACAACTGCAATGCGAAGACCTTCAGGTGCAACTTCGGTGATCTTCAGGTGGGCCATGGTTTTAGGCCCTGCCCCATATTCGTTTTCTCTCTCCCCTCCTCGCTCCTCTCTCCTTTCTTCCTCCCTCTTCCGTGCGCCCCCACCTTTCCCCCCACTACAGCCTGCAAGAGACAGCGTGTCTACTGGGAGTGCACACACTGGGAGGGACAAGCTTCACTCTGATAGAACTACTTTCGGTCAACAAAACGTGCCCTCTTTCCCCTTGCTCCTTTCCCGTTCCCCCTTGTAGGTTGTAGGAGTCGGTGTGTCTACTGAAACCTCACACTGGGAGGGAAGGGCTTCAGACACACAACAACAAATCGGTGAAAATGTTCCTTTCATGTCAACAACAAATCCCTCCCCCTCTCTCCCTCCTCCCACCCTCCCCCTCCCCCCCCTCCCCCCCTCCAGCCTTCAAGAGACGGTGTGTCTACTAGGGGCGCACACACTGGGAGGGAAGGGCTTTGGTGAAAAAGTTCATTCCATGTTAACAACAATTCCCTCCCCCTCTCTCCCTCCTCCCACCCTCTCCCCTTTCCCATCCAGCCTTCAAGAAACGGTGTGTCTACTGGGAGCACACACTCTAGGAGGGAAGGGCTTTGGCGATCCAACCACCTTTGACAATTCATACTACTCCATTCTGCTAACCAAGCCATGGCTCGACACGAGTGAGTGCATGCAAACTGTGTGCCTGCTTGCCTCGCTCTCTTTTTGCACACTCTGTGTGTAACTGGCTTTGGAGATGCAACCATCTTTGACAATTCAAACTACTCCATTCTTCTCACCAAGCCATGGCTCGACACCAGTGAGTGCATGCAAATCTGTACCTGCTTGCTCCACTCTCTCTTCTCTTCGCACCCTCTGTGTGAAAAGGGCTTCGGTGGCCCTACCAGCTTTGAGAATGCCTACTACTCCATTCTCCTTACCTAGCCGTGGCTCGACACAAGTGAGTGCATGCGAATCTCCCTGCTTGCCGCACCCTCTCTTTGCTCACTATGTGTGTAACTGGCTTCGGAGACGCCACCACCACCTTTGACAACGCCCACCACTCCATTCCCCTGACCAAGCCATGGCTCGACACAAGTGAGTGCATGCGAATCTCCCTGCTTGCCGCACCCTCTCTTTGCTCACTATGTGTGTAACTGGCTTCGGAGACGCCACCACCACCTTTGACAACGCCCACCACTCCATTCCCCTGACCAAGCCGTGGCTCGACACAAGTGAGTGCATGCGAATCTCCCTGCTTGCCGCACCCTCTCTTTGCTCACTATGTGTGTAACTGGCTTCGGAGACGCCACCACCACCTTTGACAACGCCCACCACTCCATTCCCCTGACCAAGCCGTGGCTCGACACAAGTGAGTGCATGCGAATCTCCCTGCTTGCCGCACCCTCTCTTTGCTCACTATGTGTGTAACTGGCTTCGGAGACGCCACCACCACCTTTGACAACGCCCACCACTCCATTCCCCTGACCAAGCCGTGGCTCGACACAAGTGAGTGCATGCGAATCTCCCTGCTTGCCGCACCCTCTCTTTGCTCACTATGTGTGTAACTGGCTTCGGAGACGCCACCACCACCTTTGACAACGCCCACCACTCCATTCCCCTGACCAAGCCGTGGCTCGACACAAGTGAGTGCATGCGAATCTCCCTGCTTGCCGCACCCTCTCTTTGCTCACTATGTGTGTAACTGGCTTCGGAGACGCCACCACCACCTTTGACAACGCCCACCACTCCATTCCCCTGACCAAGCCGTGGCTCGACACAAGTGAGTGCATGCGAATCTCCCTGCTTGCCGCACCCTCTCTTTGCTCACTATGTGTGTAACTGGCTTCGGAGACGCCACCACCACCTTTGACAACGCCCACCACTCCATTCCCCTGACCAAGCCGTGGCTCGACACAAGTGAGTGCATGCGAATCTCCCTGCTTGCCGCACCCTCTCTTTGCTCACTATGTGTGTAACTGGCTTCGGAGACGCCACCACCACCTTTGACAACGCCCACCACTCCATTCCCCTGACCAAGCCATGGCTCGACACAAGTGAGTGCATGCGAATCTCCCTGCTTGCCGCACCCTCTCTTTGCTCACTATGTGTGTAACTGGCTTCGGAGACGCCACCACCACCTTTGACAACGCCCACCACTCCATTCCCCTGACCAAGCCGTGGCTCGACACAAGTGAGTGCATGCGAATCTCTCTGCTTGCCGCACCCTCTCTTTGCTCACTATGTGTGTAACTGGCTTCGGAGACGCCACCACCACCTTTGACAACGCCCACCACTCCATTCCCCTGACCAAGCCATGGCTCGACACAAGTGAGTGGATGCGATTATGTCTGCTTGCCCCGCTATCTGTAACCCCCTTTATGTGTAACTGCCTTTGACAACGCCTTCCTCTCCATTCTCCTGACCAAGCCGTGGCTCGACATGAGTGAGTGCATGAAGATCTGCCTGCTTGCCCCACTCTCCCTTCGCACACTCTCTGTCTTATGGGCTTTGGCAGTCCCACCAGCTTTGACAATGCATACTACTCCACTATCCTTACCAAGCCGTGGCTCGACACGAGTGAGTGTGGCTTGCCTGCTGCTCGACTTGTGCCTGCACAAGTCCATCACACATACCCTGCCCTGCCCTGCCATACCCTTCCCTGCCCTCTCCTTTCCATACCATGCCATGCCCTTCCCTGCCGTGCCATGCCATTGAGCCTCCCCGTGTTGCATACATGCTCCCACCTGTGACAACCGTGGGAGAGAGGGAAGAGCATGAGGGACATGACCCTGTCCATCCACGCCGTATCATACTCATGCTCATGCTTCTGCATGCTGCAACCATGCACCCACGTGTGACTGCCATGGCAGGGAACAGCATGGCAGACATGATCGGGTTGCCATCAGACAAGGCCATTGTGGACGATGATGACTGCCTTGTGTGAGTGCAGTTGACGCCTCATGTGAAGTGAAGTGTGTGTATGTGTGTGTTGTATGCAAGAACTTGCGACCCACCTGTGATTGCCATCGGACAAGGCCATTGTGGACGACTAGGATTGCCTCGTGTGAGTGTCCCTCACGCCTCATGTGCAGTGTGTGCGTGCGTGTGTGTTGTATGCAAACACTTGCGACCCACCCGTGGTTGCCATCAGACAAGGCTATTGTGGACGATGGCGACTGCCTCGTGTGAGTCCGATTGTGTTCATTCACATGCCAATTCCACTGCATCCGTGTGTGACTGATTGTTTTCTAACTGTTTATAGGAGCTATTTTTATGCAAGTTGGACTTTTCCTGTGCCAAATAGTTTCCGGCCTGGTTTTGCAGACATTTGCTAAAGGTAGTGATTGTTTTCGTGGGGTCAACATAATCTCCAGTTAGTTCCTGTTGAATAACGTTTGTTGCCCAAATTCCTGCTCCCATTCCCCCCCATCACATCATCCCTCCAACCTTGCCATCCCTCTCATCTCACTCCTATGCCACACCAGGTGGATCGACAAGTATGCCAGCGACCAGGACCTCTTCTGTTGAAACTTCTGATATCTCCTCTCACTCCATCTGACCCTCCATCCCTCTCCCTTTCCCATGCCCCCCATCTCTCACAATGCCACACCAGGTTGATCAACAAGAGCGCCAGCGACCAGGACCTCTTCTTCCGGGACTTAGAACGCTCCTTGAAAGCCCTCTTGCTCCCATCCCCTCCTATTGCCCCCTGTGCCACACCAGGTGGATCAACAAGTACGCCAACGACCAGGACCTCTTCTTCCGGAACTTTTGAGATGTCTCAAAAGCTCACTCATTCCATCCGACCCTCCATCATTCCATGGCCACGCCCCCCTCCTCTCCCCATGCCACACCAGGTGGATCAACAAGTCTGCCAACGATCAGGACCTCTTCTTCCGGGACTTTGTGCTGGCCTACACCAAGATGGTCAACAGCAGAGCCGTGTGGGCGTAGTTATGCTGTGATGTGAAAGCTCTCTCATTCCCATTCCCATCCTTCTATCCCCTCATCTCTCCCAGGTGGATCAACAAGTATGCCAACGATCAGGATCTCTTCTTCCGGGACTTTGTGCCGGCCTACACCAAGATGGTCAACAGCGGGGCTGTGTGGGCATGATTCTGGTGAACGACACGGGGAACGCTCTCAAATGTTTTGCTCCTGGAGCTTTGCGGACCAGTTGGCGGTTTTAGGTCACTTTAAGTTTGGGTGCCTCCAAAGAAGGCATTTCTAACAAACTACAGGCCAGGGCCCTTTAATTGACTCAGAGCACCCTTTGAAATCAAGGTTTTATATCTTCGACAACGACATCCCAGAATTAGGTGTGAACAATTGCTCTTATCAGGCTGAAGTGCAAGCGAGCATACCATCTTGCCCTGGATAGATTCCCAGCATACCATTCTTTTATGCCTTTCTTTTGCTAGCGGCTTGCCATCAGCTCTTTTCTAACCGGAACACTCGTTTTACATGCTTCCGGACTAGGTTTCATGCGGGTGGGAGGTCAGTGCCATCGTTGAGAGCGCAGCACACAACAGCCTTCTGGTGGCCCTGGTACACGCGCACACAGTTGCCGCTCGCCAGCTCCCACAGCCGCGACGTGCCGTCAGATGACGCTGCAGGCAGACGTGCAAAGGGGCAAAAGGGGGAGGGCGGCTGTAGCGTCATGGGGCCCTGGTACACTCGCACACTGTTGCCACTCGCCAGCTCCCACAGGCGAGAGGTGCCGTCTGATGACGCTGCAGAGGTGCAAAGGGGCAAAGGGGGGAGGGGAGGCGAAAAGGGGGGAAAGGGGGCTGTAGCGTCATGGGGCCCTGGTACACTCGCACACTGTTGCCACTCGCCAGCTCCCACAGAAGTGACTTGCTGTCTGAAGACGCTGCAGAGGTAACTTGGGGGAGTGGATTGAGAGTAGGAGAAGAAGGTGTTCGGAGTGGGGGTGAGGGAGCGGCAGGCGTGAGGTTGAAGGGAGGTGTCCCCGGTACACAGGTGCTGCTGCTGCTGCTGGCTAGCTCCCTGACGCAAGGCACGCTGTACTGTATGCTGCACAATTCTCAAAAGGAATCCTCAAGCATTGCGTTGTCAAACACAAAGTGGACCCCAATGAGAGCAACGGAGCAAGCAGTCCCACACCATCATTTACCCCTCCACATTCATGCACCCCTCCACATGCACCCCTCTACATGCACCCCTCCACATGCACTGCTCGTGAGAAGAACATGCACGTAGGAATACATACATACCTGAGACGAGGTAGGCCCCATCAATGGAGAACACACAGTCCCACACCCATCTGGCATGGCCTGAAATAGGCGTGGAAACACACGGGATGATTGGGGATTTTGGGGGACACACGGGAAGATTGGGGATTTTGGGGGGAATAGAAATATGGTGGGCTTGAGTATATTGCAATTGGAGGGATGCTGGAAGGAAAACAATGAAGAGCGGATTGGATGTAAAAAAAAAATGCGACTCACACATGAAACGGCATTACTAAATTATCAGGCATGAAATTACGCAGCCCAAGCTTCATAGAGGTCGGTGGATTCACCAAGGCCTGGAGTCGCGTTTACCTGTGAGTGTTCTCTCCAGGGTAAAGCCATCTGCATTCCATATCTTCACTGTGCCATCCGCAGATGCTGTAGCGAGGTATCTAATAAAGAGAACGGAGCGGTCAAGAGGAATGGAAGAAAAACGGAGCAGGGTAAGATGCAGTGGTTAAGAAGGGTGGGAGTGAGGAAAAGAGGGTTTAACAAGGATGACGAGGGGGCAATGGGGGGGGTAATGAGGTATAACGAAAGGTATAGGGGGCCGACAAACAAGGGATCCCAAGAGTAAAAAAATGGGGGATGGCGTGGGGATAAAGTATGGGATCGAAAGTAAGAAGGAGGAGAGGGAGAAAGTGACAACTGCAAGACAGCTAACTCATAGATTCAGCAGTGTGAAAACAGCACAAGGATACCATATAGAGCCCCCCCTTTTTTTATCGGCCCCAGGGCTTAACATGAATAAAAGAGGCTACAAACAAGTTACCCTTGCACTTAGGCCCCACCCTTGCACTTCAGAAAAAAATATTTATAACATATATATGCATATATGTATGTATACATATATAAAATCATTTAAAAACAACACACACATACACACGCACGCACGCACGCGCGCGCACACACGCACACACAGAGAAAACATTTGGCAGGCGAGAACACACCTGTTGGGGTCGGAGAATTCGGGCGAGAGCAGGCACTTGAGCACGTAGCTGTTGTGCGCCTGCAGCGAATTCTAGAGACCATGCCTGCACCAATGGAAGGCAGGTAACACACCTGTCGGGGCAGACAGGGAGCAGGCCTGAACATACCTGTTGGGGTCGGAGAACTCGGGCGAGAGCAAGCACTTGAGCACGTAGCTGTTGTGCGCCTGCAGCTTGTGGAGTGGCTCAAAGCTCGCTGCCGTCTGTCCAGGGTGGGTGAGAGAGGAGCGGAGCAAGAAGGGGGCGAGAGGGAAGTGGAGGGAGAGAGTGCACAAATAGGGGTGCATGAGACGGGAGGGCAGAGAGCAGGCACTTGAGCACGTAGCTGCTGTGCGCCTGCAGCTTGTGCAGCGGCTCAAAGCTCGCTGCCATCTGAGCAAGACGGGCGGGAGAGGAGCGGAAGGGGAGGCGAAGGGGGAGAGAGAATGAACGGACAGGGCTACATGAGGCGAGAAGACAGAGAGGAGGCGGTTGAGCAGCATGGGACATTTGTGAGCTTGCAGGTTCCAGCAGCTCACAGGTGGGCACAGCCTTGGTGTGGGGCAGTGGGTGGGTTAAAGAGGGCTGGGATGACACACAGAGAAGGAAGGGTGCGTATAGAGTGGAGATTGGGCAGGACGCGAGGGCATGAGGGGACATGGGAGGGCACGAGACGGCACAGCAGTGCACAAGAGTGAGGGCACGAGAGGGCACGAGGGGGCACAAGGGGGCACGCACACACACACACCTGCGAGCCGGAGGTGAGGCGCCAGACAAAGCAGGTTCCCTTGTTGTTGGCTGCCACGACCATGCTGCCATCCCACATCACTGCCACGGACCTTATGGCCGTGTCCACCTCTGGTACCTACATGCATGCAAGGCAGGGGTGATGTTTGGGGTTGAACGGAGAGAGAATCAGTGAAAGGTCACAAGGCAGCACTTAAAAGCAGACCGGTCATTGGTTGGTGTCAGTCAGTCAGTTCCCACATGACTGCCACGGACCGTATTGCCGTGTCCACCTCTGGTACCTGCACGCACACACGCAATCCAGGGGTGTATGGAAGGTTGTGGGGAAAAGAGGGGAGGATGTCTTAAGGACAGCACTTGGAAACTGAACGGACAGTGATGATAGTTGCTACTGCCATGCTGCCATCCCACATGACTGCCACGGACCTTATTGCCGCATCCACCTCTGGCACCTGCCGGGGTGAATTGACGGTTGCGAGGAGAAGAAGGAGAGCGGTCGTACGGGCAGCACTTAGAAACAGAGAGGAAATTGATGATAGATGCCACGACCATGCTGCCATCCCACATCACTGCCACGGACCTTATTGCCGTGTCCATCTCTGGTACCTGCATGCATGCAAGGAAAGGATGACGTGACAGTTGCAAGGAGACAAGGCCACAAGGACAGAAGTTCATGCTGTCGCGGGTCATAAGAGGGCATGGACACAGAACAAAAAGGGATGCCCTCTCCATCATGACTGTACTGGCGTCCCACACCCCTGACACTGGCCGGATCACCGGGTGTGGAGCATGGATAACTGCAGGGATGAAGGTCACAAGGACAAAAGGATCGAACAGATTGACCAGATTTATTGGATAGCCAGATTGGCACGTGGACCCCCCCTCCCCACATGGGGGCGAAGGAGGGCGAGTTGTTGGCATGAAGAGTAAAGTCGTGCAACGAGAGCAGTGCGCGCCACATGGCACGTCACACGAGCAGTGCACGATGCTTCTGGCCCAGCACAGCACAATGGCCTGCGTGGACTCGGATTGACCCTCAATGACCCGCGTTGACTCGCGCTGGCTCACCAGTTCACAGCTGCACGCGTTGGCAGTGAGGTCCCACACGCGGATGTTGCCGTTCTGGTCTCCTGAGATGAGCTCCGTCTGGTTGGGGTGCAGCACCACCGTGTTCACCGCTGCCCGGCTCTCATAGTCCCTCTGGTACAGCGGTGGGGCCCTGCGGGGGAGGAAAGAGGGATGGAATGGCAAGAAGGGGGAGGAAGAAGGAGAAAGGTACCACTGTCATGGGCATCAACTCCGTCTGGTTGGGATGCAGCACCACTGTGTTTACTGCCGCCCTGCTCTCATAGTCCCTCTGGTACAGCGGAGGGGCTCTGCGGGTAAGGGAGAATGCGCAAGAAGGGGGAGGGGGAGGAAGAAGGAGAAGGTACACCTGCCATGGGTATATGAGATGAGCTCTGTTTGGTTGGGATGCAGCACCACCGTGTTCACTGCAGCTCAGCTCTCATAGTCCCTCGGGTATAACGGTGGGGCTCTGAGGGCAAGGGAGAGTGCGCAAGAAGGGGGAGGGGACGGAAGAAGGAGAAGGTACAGTTGCCATGGGTATATGAGATGAGCTCCGTCTGGTTGGGGTGCAGCATCACCGTGTTTACTGCCGCTCGACTCTCATAGTCCCTCGGGTATAACGGTGGGGCCCTGCAAGTCATGGAGAATGCGCAAGAGGGAGGGGGAGGAAGAGGGAGGTGGGGAGGGAAGTAGGAGAAGGTACCACTGTCATGGGCATCAGCTCCGTCTGATTTGGTTGCAGCACCACCGTGTTTACTGCCGCCCGGCTCTCGTAGTCCCTCTGGTACAGCGGTGGGGTTCTGAGATCCGAGAGAGAGGAAGGGATGCCACAAATGGGATTCAGAGAACAAGGACAGATGAGTGAGGTGAGGGTGCCGCACATCCATGTTCACTGCCGCCCAGCTCTCATACAGAGGTGGGGCTCTGCGGCTGGCAGGTTAAGTCGGGTCGACCCGATCCCTGACAAGCTCTGCGGCTTGCTTGACTGTAAAAACATTTTTCCAGGTCTCGGATCGACCCGACTCACGCCAAGCAAGCCGATCTGTTATATTACACCTGGGTCAGCTTGTTCGCCCCTGCAACCCTACCAGCCCGACCCAGTTGAAAAGCGGCATCGGTTGGGACCGCCCCCTTGCGCTCATGTCGACCCGCGTCACCCATATCCCACTGCCTCCACCAGAGGTCCCAGATCTTGACGGTGCCGTCTTCTGACCCGGAATACATCCACCCCCGTCGCATTGACACACTTATGGCAACGCCTCATGCTCCATCTATCTACAACTTCCCCACATCACCCCCCACCTGAGGTCCCAGGTCTTGAGCCCGAGTACATCCAGCGACCGGTGCACTGACACCCAGAACAAAGCGTCATGCTGTGTCTTGACTAGAGCCATGACCTGATACACCATGTCCGAGCCGAGCTAACTGCCCCACATACAGCAGCTGCCCCCACCTGAGGTCCCAGATCTTGACAGTGCCGTCCTCTGAACCGGAGTACATCCAGCGACCGTCGCACTGAAAGCCCACCGCCGTCACGTTGTTGGTGTGCCCGTCGTAGCTCATCACCTGGGGGTGGGGGGAAGAAATGGGGCAGGACGGGTGGCGTGGAGGGGGGAAGGAAGGGTTGCGGCCGAGGAACTCAGCACTAAAAGCCCACTGCTGTCATGTCACATTGTTTTTGGTGTGCCCGTCATAGCTCATCACCTGGGAGGCGGGCGAGGGAAGTGGCCGGGATGAATGGTGGCGTCGAGAGGAGGAGGAAGGGTTGAGGCAGAGGGAGTGGCGGAGGGGATGAGGCGCTCAGCACTGACAGCCCACCGTCCTCACGTTGTTGGTGTGCCTGGACGGGGGTAGACATGGGCAAACAGCGACACGAGTAATACTCGGGTCGTTTTGGGCATACTCGTTTTTAAGGCATACGAGGCGAGGCGAGAATTACTCGCCCGAGTGATATTGCCTACTGCTCGTTACTCGACCAAACAGGCGAGTACTTTTTTACTCGCTACGTGTGATACCGGCTGTGGCTGGTTAAGTCAATGTGGCTGCTGGAAGAACAGGCGGATGTGGTGTGGGAGCTGGCAGCACTGCCAGGTACTTCTGCAATGGTGTCGCAACACCGTGCGGTGCAGCGCATGGCACAGCACGGCACGGCATGACAGTGCATGGCATGGTGCTGCTAACCGGCTGTGGCTGGCTGGAGCGAATCTGGAAAAAACTGATGTGCTGTACGGATTGCCAGCAGCAGCAGCAGCTGTGGTCGTGTCACAACCTCGTGCGTGCATGCATAGTGGTGCTGCTAGCACTTTGCTGTAACAATACTCGAGACAACACATGATACATACCGGCTGTGGCTGGTTGGAGTCGATCTGGAAGAGGCGGATGTGCGGGTTGCCTGCAGCAGCAGCTGTGGTGGTGTCTCTCCCATGACCAGGCAGTAGTGCATGGCATGGCGTTGCTTACCGGCTGTGGCTGGTTGGAGTCGATCTGGAAGAGGCGGATGTGCGGATTGCCTGCAGCAGCCAGGAACCTCTTGTCCGGCATGATCTCCATGCGGTTCACCTGCTGTGCTGGTGCAATCGGTGCAGGGGTGCAGGTGGGATGGGAAAGAAGAAGAAGAAGAAGAAGAAGAAGAAGAAGGGGTGCAGGTGGGGGGGGGGGGGGGGTTGAATGTGGAGGGTGATGGTTATTGAAACCTCTTGTCTGGCATGATCTCCAAGCGGTTCACCTGCTGTGCTGGTGCACCCGGGTTGGACATGGGGGTATGAAGGGGGAAGTGAGGGAAGGGGGAGACCGGAGCGTGTGGGGCACGGTTATTGGAACCTCTTGTCTGGCATGACCTCCATGCGGTTCACCTGCTGTGCTGGTGCAATGGGGGGGGATGGAGATGTGGGGACGATGGGGAGGTAATATGGGAAGGCGGGTAGGGAGGGAGAAGATGGGTGCGTGCGGGAGACGGTTATTGGATCTTGTCTGGCATGAACGCCATGCGGTTCACCTGCTGTGCTGGTGCAATGTGGGGGAGGGGGGGAGGAGAGGGGGGGGTGTGTTCGTGCTTGGGATGGTTCTTGGAAACCTCTTGTCTGGCATGAGGAGGAGGAGGAGGGGAGAGAGAGGATGCGGGGTGCGGGTGCGGGGGTGAATGTGGGGGAGATGGTTATCGTAACCTCTTTCGGGCATGATTTCCATGCGGTTCACCTGCTGCTTGGAGGAATTTGGGGGTGAGTGTGGGGGGGTAGAGGGGAACCACGTGTGAGAGTACATGTACCTGGCAACGGATATAGAGGCATAATCCTCACCACGCAGTTCACGTGCTTCTCTGGTTCAGAAGGGCGTGGCGGGCGGGGGAGCGGGGGGGGGGGGGAGGGGGCGGGGGGGGGGGAGGAGGAGGGCGGGAATGTGTGGGGTAGGGAGTGAATGTGGGGAGGAGACAGGTGAGGGAGGCGGTTATTGGAACTTCTTATCCGGCATTATTTCCATGCTGTTCACCTGTTGGGGGAGGGGTTGAGATGGGGTGGTGATTGTAGTGGGAGGGACAGATAAAGGGTGCGCAGGTGGCGGGGTGAAGACGGGGGACCTTCATGCGGATCACCTGCTTCCCCGGTGCACCAGAAGGGTGGATATGTGGGGGTGCAAGTGGGGAGATGCAGACGGAGGATTGCGGATGGGTAGTTATGGGTGACGGGCTTACCAGACAGACTGTGTTCGCTGCACATCGCTGGTAGTTGCAAGCTTCACCTTGAGGGTTAACGAGAACTGTGCTTCGTTACAGTGCAGTTTGTATGTTCCTGGTAGCCTATCGATTCTGATTCGGTAACGTAGTAATTCGATTCGGTTAACGTACTGATTCGGCGTACTGGATCGTGCGGTAGCATTGTCCCGACGTGGCTTCCCAGAATCGGATCGTGTGGTCATAACCCGCCGTCGCGAGCACGACGGACAGCTGCGACATGGCGACGGCGTGCGACAAGCCTGCGACGGCTTAAGCGACACGCCTGCGACGTGCCAACGAAATCAGGGGCCTTGGCAAATAATCACGAGATAGGGATACGGTTGTTGCAAAGTGGATGAAGCTAAATAAGTCTTAATCGCCTACGTAAACGCATGTGCTTCTTTATTATCACCGATGCCTTCGCAGGTTCGGGCTTCGATAATACGTCCTCCGTGGCTCCTAGTTATTCCCTATTCTTTGCCTGACACCGCGAGAACCGCTAATGAGCGCGCGGGGGTTCACAAACAAGCTTCGACGTTTACATCGAAAGGGTTGCGTAGGGTTGTATCCACTGCGTTTACTAAGTTCTTCATGATGATGTATATTAACTTAAAACATGACAAGATCGATAGTCCCTTATTACGGCGAAAATACATTTTCCAGAAATTTCTTCCCTCAAAATTGTTTTGAGTGCTAATTACTATGGTTCAATTTTTTTGTGATCATAAAAAAGATGAATTGTTTACGCCTAGTGCATATTCTATAGTTAGATCAGCGTACTATAGCGGGTTTTATGTTTGCAATTACTGTTAGTATTGCCAAATGCCTAGATTTGGTTTTTGCTTGCCATTCACCCTTGTGCTCATATTACAATGTATACTGTACATAGAAAGTTTCGGTTCCTCGTTCAGCGCTGGCAAAAAAATTCTCGCCAGCTCCACGACAACCACAACCAAGGGATATCCGTCCCTTTCACAGCTGTCAAACCGAATTTGACGCGCTCTTCATTTCTTGGTTCTTTTTGGGTTGCGTAGCAACCTTATACATTCGTTTTCACTTTTCGGTTGACTGACGTGAACAGTGATTTTCCCCCATATATTTTGGAAGAACTCACTGTTCACGTCAGTTTCACGAAATGTGAAACCAAATGTATTTAACCAATCATTCCATAGTCGTCGATAAATACGGCGAATGGAACAATTGGTTGTACCAAAGCAAAAAACGACAACACCCTAAGACACGCAAACAAGGACTAAACAGACACATTACACAATTACCACATACTAGAACATGTACAAAAACCACATAAAACAAGGGACAACAGTTGTGAATGCTTCGAAGCTAATGCTAGAATGCATCGTTGATGCAACTGCGATTGATCTGGTATGGAAGAGGCAAACTAAGCTGCCCCACCAACGATCACAACCCCAATTGCATTAACAAGGCACTTAGCACTCACCTCGAAACAGACACACAAAACACTACGTACATATACGCACACACACATACAGGCTCACACACATACGCACACACACACGGACAAACACATAAACATACAGCTATGTAATCAACATGCAAGAATATGAAGTTCAACTATGTATAAATCATTGCTAGCTTGTCCCCATTCCCCTCCTTCCCTTCCTGATCTCCCTTCTGTCAGAATGTTATTGTCTAGCCTGCAGTGGGGTGCTCAATAGTGAGTACAACCCCTTAGGGTTTCCTATATGTATCCTGCTGCTTGCTAGTTCATCATCATTCCCATTCTCACTTCTCCAATTCTCCTTCGCATACCCAAAACCCTAGTCCTAGGGCACAACCTACTACCTCCTAGTGTGGGCCTAGGCTACTAAGCCTAGGCCCCACTCCTATTGTTTCTAACATGGTATCTAGAGCGAGCACGTTCCTGCCGCTTACCTCTATGGGCCCACCACCTGCTTCCGCTGCCGTAGTGTCCGCCGCGCGCCCCGTGGTGCGCGGCGGCGAAACCCTAATTTTTCATCCCGCCGTGCCGTGCCGCGGTTTTCTGCCCGCCGTGCGCCCCGAGGCGCGCGGCGGTTTTCTGCCCGCCGTGCGCCCCGAGGCGCGCGGCGGTTTTCTGCCCGCCGTGCGCCCCGAGGCGCGCGGCGGCTTTCTGCCCCGTCACTCCGCGAGTCGCCCCCGGGAGGAGCTGCGACGGGCGACGGGGACCCGCGCGTCGCCCCCCGTCGCCCGTCGTGGCCCGCGCGACCTCCGTATGGCCCGCGCGCGGCCCGTCCAGCCTGCGCGCGGCCCGTACGGGCTGCGCCAGGCCCGCGCGCGGCCCGTACGGGCTGCGCCAGGCCCGCGCGCGGCCCGTACGGACTGCGCCAGGCCAGGGCGCGCCTCGAGCCGCCCGCCACTGCAGCAGCAGCCCCTGGAGCCGCCCGCAACTGCAGCAGCAGCCCCTGGAGCCGCCAGCACCTGCAGCAGCAGCCCCTGGAGCCGCCCGCAACTGCTGCAGCAGCCCCTGGAGCCGCCAGCAACTGCAGCAGCAGCCTCTGGAGCCGCCAGCACCTGCAGCAGCAGCCCCTGGAGCCGCCCGCACCTGCAGCAGCCGCCCCTGGAGCCGCCAGCAACTGCAGCAGCCGCCCCTGGAGCAGCCGCCCCTGCAGCAGCCGCCCCTGGAGCCGCCCGCCACTGCAGCAGCCGCCCCTGGAGCCGCCCGCCACTGCAGCAGCCGCCCCTGGAGTCGCCCGCCACAGCAGCAGCCGCCCCTGGAGCCGCCCGCCACTGCAGCGGCCGCCCCTGGAGTCGCCCGCCACTGCAGCAGCCGCCACTGGAGCCGCCCGCCACTGCAGCAGCCGCCCCTGGAGCCGCCCGCCACTGCAGCAGCCTCCCCTGGAGTCGCCCGCCTCTGCAGCAGCCGCCTCTGGAGCAGCCGCCACTGGAGCCGCCGCCCCGACTGCTGCAGCTGCATGCGACGCCGCTCCTGGTCCCGGTGCAGCCGCCTCCTTTTCCTGTCACCCGCAGTCTTGTTCCTCTCGTGCTGTATGTGTCGCTTCTAGCCCGCTCCCTGTTCATTCGTCTTGCTCGTGTATTTGTTTGTTTTGCCTGTGTTCGTTTGTTCTACCTACCTACCTACCTGCGCCCTCGTGCCTTGTGCCTTGTGCCTTGTGCTTCGTGCCTCGTGCTTCGTGCCTCGTGCCTCGTGCCTCGTGCATCGTGCGCCCTGCTCCGCGCTGTTGCTCTGCACGCGCGGTTGCCCGCGCCCTCGTGCGCTCTACCCTACCTGCTCCGCGCTGTTGCTCTGCACGCGCGGTTGCCCGCGCCCTCGTGCGCTCTACCTACCTACCTACCTACCTGCGCCCTCGTGCCTTGTGCCTTGTGCCTTGTGCTTCGTGCCTCGTGCTTCGTGCCTCGTGCCTCGTGCATCGTGCGCCCTGCTCCGCGCTGTTGCTCTGCACGCGCGGTTGCCCGCGCCCTCGTGCGCTCTACCCTACCTGCTCCGCGCTGTTGCTCTGCACGCGCGGTTGCCCGCGCCCTCGTGCGCTCTACCCTACCTGCTCCGCGCTGTTGCTCTGCACGCGCGGTTGCCCGCGCCTTCGTGCGCTCTACCCTACCTGCTCCGCGCTGTTGCTCTGCACGCGCGGTTGCCCGCGCCCTCGTGCGCTCTACCCTACCTGCTCCGCGCTGTTGCTCTGCACGCGCGGTTGCCTGCGCCCTCGTGCGCTCTCCCGCCCCGGCCCTCCCCCCCCCCCTGCGTCCCCTGGACAGGAGGGTGTGGGGGTGGCGGGTGTGGGGGTGGCGGGTGTGGGGGTGCTCCTTGTGCGTCGCCCCTTCCTTCTCCTCCGTCTCCCACTGCTGCAGCTGCCGCTGCGGGGGGGTGGATGTGTGGGAGACGAGGGAGTGGCGCTAGGGGGGTGATGTGGGCGAGGAGCGAGTGGTGACCCTGGGGGTGAGTGTAGGGGGGAGTGAGACAGTTGGAGGAGGTTGCAACCTGGTGCTCCTGGTGCCCGTGTGTCTGCAACTTCAGTCGTCGCCTCCTCTCATCTCTCCCTCCACAGTTCCTCCTCCTCCTCACTGGCCTCCTGTGACTGCCACTAGCTTTGCTCATATTTGTGAACTATTGCACTGCCTGCTCATTGTGCTGATTGCACCCCACTTTGACTATGGGGGTGTGTCAGAATGTTATTGTCTAGCCTGCAGTGGGGTGCTCAATAGTGAGTACAACCCCTTAGGGTTTCCTATATGTATCCTGCTGCTTGCTAGTTCATCATCATTCTTCATTCTCTCTTCTCCAATTCTCCTTCGCATACCCAAAACCCTAGTCCTAGGGCACAACCTACTACCTCCTAGTGTGGGCCTAGGCTACTAAGCCTAGGCCCCACTCCTATTGTTTCTAACACCTTCTCCCACCACCCCCTCCCCCCCTCCTCCCCTCCACCCTCCTCGAATGCAGCTTGAAATCCCTGCACAGGAAAGAAAAAATCAGCAAATGCAACTCACACTCCCTGCACAAACAAAAACAAAGCAGAGAGTACACTTGCATGAGCTACACAAGAGAACAGAATCAGAGAATGCAGCTCACACGATGCACCAGAAACTGATGTCACAGATCCACGCCAGAATGCATGCAGCACCTCATAGCAATTCTTGCAACACATTCACTCATTCTCGAATTCAAACCCGCGCTCACCCTCTTGCACACGCTCGCAGGCATTCACAAACACTCGAATGCTTTGAACCGTTCTTAGAGACTTAGACACACTCACTGAGACACGCACAAACCCTCGCACTCAGCCTTGGATTCGCGCAAAATAAAACGAAGTAAAATAAAAAATGCCGTGACTGAATTCAGTGAGTTATGTAAGGCGCCAGCGCATCGCAACAAGGCGCCAGCACGCTGCAGTAGAAATAGTAAAGCATGATGAAAAGGGTTGTTACTAATAGTGCAGTAAATCGATAGAAGATGAATATTGAAGGCAAATCCAATTTGAAGTCTCACACGTGTGGCTTAAAACTCGAATCCAAGGCATCAAGAATAAAATATACCACATCAGCATGCAAAGAAGGCATCATCTGCAGCAGAAAGGAAAGAGAGCAGAAGTGGTAGTGGAGAAGTTTTGGCACCAAGTTCACACATGGCGCCAGCGCGCATGGCGCCAGCGCGTTAGGCGCCAGCGCGCATGGCGCCAGCGCGTTAGGCGCCAGCGCGCATGGCGCCAGCGCGTTAGGCGCCAGCGCACTAGGACCAACCAGCAAAAATAAGTTACGGAAAAAAG